AGAGAGAGAGAGAGAGAGAGAGAGAGAGAGAGAGAGAGAGTTATATTTTTCTTTGGAAACTTGGAGTTGGAGGGAGAAAGGACTTGCCTCTGCTCCCATCTACCTGCAAAAGTCCAAGTTCCCTTTACTTCAAGGACTTGTCAGGTGATGATTTTTTTCATAACAGAAAAGTAAAAGTTCTTATCTATAAATTACAAGAGATAGCAAGGAGAATAATTTTTATGATACGAGTTTATCATCATAGTAACATCACGAGTCAATAAAATGAAGACACGTGAAAGTTTTATCCATGTTTCTTTATTTAGTGGCATAGAATATCATGTGACAATAAATTTGTATTATGTAAATTGCTATTCTAGGAGAAAATAGAATTTGAGAACCCGTTTACAAAGATAAAATGTTCTAAACTCCTTAAAGTCAAGCCTTATGCAGAAGCTAATATCATTTAATGAAAACATTAACCATTTTCTAGAGTGAAAACATTAACCATTTTCTAGAGTAAAAACATGCATCAAAAGTACGAACGTTTACAAACAATTTATTAGATACCATGTATTAACCAATGAGATGGTGTGGTAAATGTTGAAGTGATGATGCACCACTCAATAAATATTTTCAAGTGTTCGAAAATGTACGTGTTAATACTGTAGTCGGATGTGTTAAAAGGCATATATGCGACTATCATTTATCTAAAAGAAATTTGAAAAAAAGGTGAATTAATGTTGTCAAGGCTCCTCCGTGACTTGTGGGCTGATGAGTGGTTGCTAGTATCAATTAAATCTATCTATAAATTGAGTTGAATAATGCCCACCTGCTCAAATTTTATTTAATTGAAAATAAAGACCATCTAAAAGGTTCTTATTTTTTATTTTTTAATAATCGGCCAAAGAAATTACTAAAGAAAGTATTATTAACACTTAAAAATTTTTATTATGTGTTTTTTACGAAGTATTTTTTCTTCTAAGTATAAAGAACATTTTCTTACTATTATATTGGCATTGTTACGTAATGCTATTAATTTCTTCAGGCTAGTAATATTAATTGATTAAATTTGATTAATTTGTTTTAGATTGAAGTGTCCCAATTATATAAAACAAAAGTTCTCCTAATTATACAGATCGAATATGTTTGTATTGCACTAAATTCAAAATAAAAATAAGAAATTAATAATTTATGGAAAGTATCTCCTTTGTCAACTCTGAAGATTTAACCCGATGGCCGTCTACCATTTTGGAAATATATTAATCCTAATATTTTTTGGGAATGATTTATTTATGAAGAAAATAATTGTAGCAGTTAGGGGAATATTATAACTAAAATACCAATGTGAACATCTGAAGACATGTTAACCATAACAATTTAGAAGAGTCCACCTAATCTGAAGAAATCATATACTTAATCTCAACTCATTAACAACGAAAACTAAAAAATCCATAGAAAACTGATATAATTAAGAAGCTTCCATGGCTGCTGTTGCTGTAATGCTGTGGGTTGTATGAAGTGCCCGTGCTTCGAGTCCCGCAAACACAACATTAGAGTATATATGACAAAAATTCTATCATGCTTCGGTGTTTTTGCATAAAATATACCAAAACATATTAAAAAATGTTTTGTAATACTGAAACTAATTAAGAATTAGGAATGCTATTTAGAATCTTTAAGAGCTTCTTCCATCATCTCTCTCTCTCTCTCTCTCTAATTAACAATTTGACATGCTTTGGCTATAGCAATAACAAACTAATCTGCAGCTGCAGCCTCTATATTAACGCTTATTTATCTATTTGATTGATTCTGTGACTAAGGTTTTTTTTTTTTTAATTTAATGTAGAAGGAAGAATCGAATTTAAAATCTCTTCGACCTTAAAAACAAGACTTATACTATCTAGTCTAGTTGGTTTACAATTAAGCTTGTTAATTAGGGTGTTGTTATGATTCTTTAGGAACATATATTATATATGTGTTTGGTACTATATAATTGCATTGAAATTTGGAGAAAGTTAACGTACTGCATGTGCTTTGCTAGCTAACCAGTGGCCTGCATGCCTTCGTTCGCTTATTAGAAAGTGGAAACAGATTCTTCAAACACACAGAAAAGTCGAACCAAGAAAAGCCAAATGATGAAAAGGTGATATCAAAAAAGAAAAAAAAAAACAGAAAGATGAAAAGGTGACAGTGATATTAATTACGACTGATGGAGGAAGATTGGAGAACAATTTATATATCCTGTTGATTTGTATGAATCGAGGGAAGTTTTGGCACAACGGGTATGTTGTTCTTTTGTGATTAGAAAGTTACAGATTTAAATGGTAGAAATAATATTTTTGCAAAGTAAAGATAAAACTATTTTCTTTCTTAATTGTCGCAAAGCAGAAAACTTTGTTAACTTAGGATCGTCATTCGGTATTTTGTATTAATTCTACAATATCACATGAAAAAACACTTACAAAAAACATTATATATTAACACAAAACATTATGATGACAGTATAACCATATCATGCAACTCCTTCTCGGAAGATTGAGACAAAAGATTCATGCATCTTTAATTTTGCACACTCATAATTTGATGACAAGTGAAGGGAAAGCAGACGTGCTATGCCTGAACTCCATTAGGGCATACCCAACTAACCTATCTCAATCATCATAACCCATGTTTGAGGGAACACGTAATTACTCATTCGCCCCCACCCTTTAATTGATTGGAAAATTATGCCCAACTTTTCTGCAATTATTCCTCTTCCCCACAATTAATCATCTTAATCATTGGGGACATGGACATTACACTTCAAATTCATTTATCTAATTAGTATGTAGGACTGTTGTAAGGGAATTATAGAACAACCATAAGATTGATGAAATCATACAGGTATATCCAATCAATAATAGGTTATTAATTATTATCAAGGTCGAAATTAGGGCTAACTGAAGACGTATCTTTATCTCTATAATACTCATTACGTGACCAAATACTCTGATGAGTGTTATATATAAAGTTATGTGAATGTATTTAGGTGATATGTAAGAATTCTACATAAAGCAAAAAATTACAAAATGACAATTTGCAAATAAAATATCTTTATGCCCCACGTTGTGATTGAGTGACCACATATGAAAACATGCATGCACGATCGAATCACATATATGTTTTAAGAAACATAAATTTGCTAAGCTTAATTAGGTTATAAGAAACATATCAATCAAGGGTCTACTTTCTTATCCAAATAATGGCTTCGAAATGAACTCTATCAAAGCTTGATTAGGTTTTAAGAAAGCTCACTTTCTGATATAATGTGAATATATATATATATATATATATATATGTTTTTAACAGGCAATAATCAATATAAAATACGTATGAAGATTAGTGAATCAAAGTGAAACGTCTCTTAAAAAAGTTGGCCCCACTAGATTAAGTTTTGGTGGACCCAAGAGATGAACAAGCTTAGGGTTCACCATATCTGCTAGCTGAAACATACAGGGCAGGCACATGGAATCTGATTTGGTTGGTATGTTATCCCTTAGCTGAAATATATGATTTATATAAGCAAAGGCAAAGCCAATGAGATGTGATTTTACCTTCAAACTCAAAGCATAAGATCTTGCAAAAACATGGTGGTTGGGTAACCAGTTTCAATCAACTGTCAACGCCAGCTACCTGCATGAAGTTGAAGACGATGGTGACAGTGAAGAGGATGGTGAAGAAAAATTATTTCAGGTCCCTGAGCTTTAGCTGTCATCTGTATGGGCATTTAATGACGGGAATTACGCACTTGGTCATCATCTTGTTTGCATAGTACGTGATAATCATCTTCGGGAAATAGGAGATTTAAACTCAGGACGTCTCATGAAGAGGTAGAGATTATCCTAACCGTGCGAGTTACAAGCAAGGTCATGAAACAACGCATGGGATCATCTAAACCCTTCGCTACCTAACCCGAATATACGCTCTACTCTTAGATCTCTGTATGCTTGGTAAACAAATACTGAAACATAAAACAAAAAATATACTATTACACGTAACTGAAACTTGCACCGCAGGGAAGTTACAAACATCAAGGATTCAAGTCACAAGCTATGATTTCCCACCAATAACATTGTAAATACTTAGAAGTAAAAGTAACTGAGTCAGCATTATTTTCATTCCGATTCTAAACAGTCGGTAAACAAATTGATCAAAATGTGTGATTCTAATTCATGGATTCTCCGACTAATTCTTGATTATTCCGATTCCTGATTAGATAAACTGAAAATCACAAATTCAAAAACCTAAAGGAGGAATTGCAATTGGTTGTTCCACTTGGCAGAATTCTTTGTCTAATTTCCCTCCACAAGTGGTTGTCCCACTTCTGGCTCTTTGTGGTTCTAAGGACAACCTCTCTCTCTCTCATTTGCTTATACATGAAGCAAATCCTCTTGCTTTTCTTCCTCCTGAATTTTCAGTGCATATTTCAGCACTCCGGACATGAATTTAATTCAGATTCTTGGGGCCGCAGCACCTATCGTAATGTTGCTAATTTTCTCACAATAAAATTGGACCAAAACAATTACCCGTTATGGAAGGGCACAATTTATCCCTCTTCTCAGAAGCCGTGGTCTTCCCTCGTTCGCGGATGGAACTGCTGTCTGTCCTCCGGACTTTATTTCCGATGCTGAGGGAAGGTTGCCCGATAACGTCGATCCTCTCTGCGAAGCATGGATCCGGCAGGATCAGTTGGTGCTGCCATGGTTGGCGAGTTCACTAACACCAACGTTCTCACCGTCATTGTCAACAAAATTCGCACAAAGACGACGATTAAGCACTCAGTAGTCATCCTGTTTGCATAGTAAAAGTGAACCATACTCGAGGAAGAGATTCAAACTCGCCGTATCGGTTTAGAGGTAAATGTTCTAAACCACATGAGTTCATGCGGAGTAAAGAAACATCATCACATTAGCACGCTATAAGCGAAAACTCTTGTAGTCTGGTCCGTCACATGAACCAAATAACCAAAAAACCGAACATAATAAGAATGTCGCTTATATAAAAAACCGAATATAATTAAGCCAACAAAATTCAGTAGCAAACTCTTCGAAGATATTGCATTTCTTACCCAAGTAAATAAAACGCTCTATCCTTCTAGCTCTGTATGCTTGGTAAACAAAAAAACCGAAACAAAACAACGAATGTGCTCTTACACGTTTACTGAGAACTGGACCGCTAGGAAGTGAAAAACACCGAAGGATCCAAGCGCACAAGAAAGGCTTCTGAAGAAGGAGTTGCCGAACAATTTCATCTTGACTGGAAGCACAAGGTTTATGTGGGTTGCCAATACAACTTACACAATTATTCGTTGCCATGGAGGTGTTTAGAATCAACTCAGGAACCCGTTTCCTGAGTAACTTTAGCCAACTTCAACTCCACCGGCCAATACAAGTAATGGTATCAATTTTTGGGTGACAGCGCCTGATCCCTTAAAACTTGACTATAAAATTTCCACGATTTAGCTTTCTTTGTTATGGGGCGTTGACCAAATCGATTGTGCTTCACATATTCTTGAACATTTGGAGCATAAACTAATCCTTCCACATAACGACGAAGATCGCCTCCAACCCCTGTGATAAACCAAGCGTATAATTGCATATTACACCAAGTCATTATGTAAAAAGTATTTGATAGTAGAAAACAAAAACAGAAAATAAAATGGATATTATGATTCAAATGTCATCCGAAAAAATACAATCAACGATAGGGGACTGCAAAAGACAAGTAATTGTAATAAAACACCTGGAAGCTAAAATTTCAGACCAATAACGTTGTAAGTAAAAGTAATTGAGTAACTACTCAGAGAAGTAAACAAAAACATTGAGGATGAGAATAGATAAACTGAAAATCATAAATTCAAAAACCTGGAGGAACCTACAGACATAAGCTTTGAAGGCACACAAACGTGCATAATACTTGAAAGACATAGCGGCAAAACTAGGTCCACACATGGATCAAATTTTAACCAACGTAATTATTTTAGCTGAGATCGACCATGTGCAATGCAAATGTGAATGAGGCTAGAATGTGAGATATGCAACCATTGATCTCCTTACATTTCCAAATACACAAAAACTTGAACGGTATCTCACCTAGTGATCTATCTGTTCGATTCTTGAATCGATATGGGAAGGGAAATATTGCTGTGTTCTCCTAAACAATCAGAAACAAAGTATTAGTTTCAGGCTGTAACCTTTGTACTTAAACCAGTCACGTCAAAGTGAAGAAATAAGGAGGAAAGAGTTAATCAACTAACTGGATTGCATAAAGCTTTGTACGGAGAATCATCCACTAATAATGTGTTTGTCTCGTTGTACTCTCCCCTTGCAAATGGAAGATCAGGATCATGCTTCTCCCATAACTTTCTAAGTTCTTTGAAAACAAGGGGTTTTTCCTTGTTGTCAAGAGTTTTGAACTTCGTTTTAGTACAGTGGGATTGATTCTGCATACAACAATCGTTGTAAGAATAACGTAATAGAATTGAAATCAATGCAATGCAATTATGAATTGATTCACTCAAAATACAAGTTCTACAAATTGCTAAAGTAACACTAAATTACTTTACTGGATAAGTTTGATTACAGGTGATTATCTTACAAACTATACTGAAGAAGTCCTTACCCAGCAAAAAAGCAATTTCTTTTTGGAAATTCCCAAAAGATAATCTACCACCGCGTCCACGTTCTTCCTGAAAAAGCAAGTGTAAAATATCACAACCCAACAAAACAGAAAATGAGAGAAGGAACAGGTGTATCAGTCCTGGAATGAAGTTTACTTGTTTCTTGAAGACCAAATAGCCACGTTAAAATAGTCAAGGCAGAACAGTAGAAAAGAATCATAAAATGGCCTCTTAAAAACTGCGAAAAAAACATGTAGGGATTAGATTTCAGTAAGGCTAGAAAAGTATATAACTCTCCATATACATTTAAATGTAAATTATCACCTGATTTCCTTGCTATCATTGTGTCTGGTTTATACAGTTTAATCTGCTGGGGAACCAGTTGAACAATATCAGCAAGAAGCCCGTTTACATCAAGAATGAGAAGCTTTTTCCAAGAAACATAAACAAGAGGTCTTTCAACAGCCCAATATGGTATCTGTGAATAACTGCCTTCCTTCGCCACAGCACCCAAATCAACCTGGCCAGGAAAGCCAGCGCAAACTTGGTGGTTGGTGTTGTTATTTCCTGAGGCATTAGATCTCTTGTTCTGATCCTTGTCCTCATTTTTCTCCTGTAAAGTACTTTCCTCCAAAAGTAATTGTATCACATGTAGGTCTGATACTACTGCTACCGGAGGCTGTGGAGATGGATCCGCTTCTGGAATAATCTTCTCCACTGAAGTACCAACAGAAGGATCAGAACTTGTATCATTACTCTTACGCATTTTAAGCCTTTTCTTCCGATCCTTTCTCCCTTGTGAGCAACTCAAAACTTCAATGAGTTCGATACTCTCAGAATTGATTCTTTGTTTAATTCCCTCAACAAGAGGTTTTTCCACTTCTAGATCTTGTTTTGAGAACATTGCAAGTGGAGGCTGTACAGTAAGATCTACTCCTGGAAAAGTATTTCCTCCTAAAGAAGTACCAACAGAAAGATCACATCTTTCATCAATACACTCATTGGTCTTATGCCTTCTCTTTCGCTTCTTCTTCTGTTCTTGTGAGCAACTCAAGTCCACATTAAGCGACTTGGGACCTTCTGAACTTGCTGCCGCGCTATTTCCCTTCACAAGTGGTTGTGGCAAATCTAGTTTTTCCTCTGAGAATTCTGAGTCTGGAGGCTGCTGAGAGGGATCTATTCCTGGCATAAAATTTTCCACAAAAGGAATACTAACTGAAAGCTCACAACTTTTATCATTACTCTCCCGGGTTTTAAACTTTTTCTTCTTTTTTCTTGAGGAACTCAAATCTCCAGTAGGTTCAGAACTTTCTGAATTAATTTTCGTGCTAATCCCGTCCATACGTGATTGTGGCAATTCTAGCTTTTGTTCTGAGGATTCTGAGACTGGAGGCTTTTGAGACAGATCTACTCCTGGCACAATATTTTCCACTAAAGAGCTACCAACTGAAAACTCACCACTTTTGTCATTCCCACAACTTTCATCATTACTCTCCCGGGCTTCTGACCTTTTCTTCTGTGTCTTTTTCTTCTTTTTTCTTGAGGAACTCAAATCTTCAACAGGCCAGAACTTTCCGAATTGATTTTTGCGTTAATTCCTTCCATAAGGGGTTGTAGCAATTCTAGCTTTTGCTCTGAGGATTCTGAGACTGGAGGCTGTTGAGACGGATCTACTACTGGCATAATACTTTCCACTAAGGAAATACCAACAGAAAGCTCACAACTTTTGTCATTACTCTCCCTGGTTTCAGAATTCTTCTTCGGATTCTTTTTCTTCTTTTTTCTTGAGGAACTCAAATCTTCAATAGGTTCAGAACTTTCTGAATTAATCTTTGCGCTAATTCCTTCCATAAGGGGCTGTGGCAATTCTAGCTTTTGTTTCGAGGATTCTGAGACTGGAGGTTGTTGAGGTGGATGTACTCCTGGCATAATATTTTCCACTAAAGAAATACCAACTGAAAGCTCACAACTTTTGTCATTACCACAACTTTCGTCATTACTCTCCCAGGTTTCGGACTTCTTCCGAGCCTTTTTCTTCTTTTTTCTTGAGGAAGTCAAATCTTCAATAGGTTCAGAACTTTCTGAATTAATTTTCGTGCTCATTCCTCCCATAAGTGGCTGTGGCAATTCTAGCATTTGTTTTGAGGATTCAGAGACTGGAGGTTGTTGAGGCAGATCTCTTCCTGGCATAATATTTTCCACTAAAGAAATACCAACTGAAAGCTCACAACTTTGTCATTACCACAACTTTCGTCATTACTCTCCCAGGTTTCGGACTTCTTCCGAGCCTTTTTCTTCTTTTTACTTGAGGAAGTCAAATCTTCAATAGGTTCAGAACTTTCTGAATTAATTTTCATGCTCATTCCTCCCATAAGTGGCTGTGAAAATTCTAGCATTTGTTTTGAGGATTCAGAGACTGGAGGTTGTTGAGGCAGATCTCTTCCTGGCATAATATTTTCCACTAAAGAAATACCAACTGAAAGCTCACAACTTTTTTCATCACTACTCTCCCGGGTTTCAGACTTCTTCCGAGTCTTTTTCTTCTTTTTTCTTGAGGAACTCAAATCTTGAATAGGTTCAGAACTTTCTGAATTAATTTTCGTGTTCATTCTTTCCGTAAGTGGCTGTGGCAATTCTAGCTTTTGTTCCGAGGATTCTGAGACTGAAGGTTGTTGAGGCGGATCTCTTCCTGGCATAATATTTTCCACTAGAGAAATACCAACCGAAAGCTCACAACTTTTGTCATTACCACAACTTTCATCATTACTCTCCCGGGTTTCAGACTTCTTCTGAGTCTTTTTCTTCTTTTTTCTTGAGGAACTCAAATCTTGAATAGGTTCAGAACTTTCTGAATTAATTTTCATGTTCATTCTTTCCGTAAGTGGCTGTGGCAATTCGAGCTTTTGTTCCGAGGATTCTGAGACAGGAGGTTGTTGAGGCGGATCTCTTCCTGGCATAATATTTTCCACTAAAGAAATACCAACTGACAGCTTACAACTTCTGTCATTCCCACAACTTTCATCAATACTCTCTTGGGTTTTAGACTTCTTCTGCGTCTTTTTCTTCTTTTTTCTTGAGGAGCTCGAATCTTCAATAGGTTCAGCAATTTTTGAGTTTTCATTTGTGCCAATTCCCTCCATAGGTGGTTGTGCCATTGCCACCTGTTCCACTTGTTCAGGGAAGTCTACGACAGAAGGCTCTACAGAATGATCTACCGTTGGCATAATAGTTTCAGCTAAAGAAGTACCAACAGAAATATCACAATTTTTATCATCACTCTCATGGATTTTATGCCTTTATCCTGCTTCTTTCTCTTCTTTTTTCGCTCGTGAAACAAATCTTCTTGCTGTTCTTCCTTTTCTGAAATTGCCGTGCAAATTACAGCACAAGACTCCGGGCATGAATTTTCAGATTCTAGGGCAACACCTATTGTATCCTTCTTCTTTCTCTTCCTATTAGTCAAGCCTCCCAGAGGAGGTAACTCAGCTGGTACCAAATCAGAAATGATACTCATTGAAGGCTCATCCATCAGTTTTTCAGTCCCAAGTGAATCATTATGATGTTCATCCCTACCCAAAGACTGCACACAATTTTTTTTTTCAGGAGTAATATTCTCAACTGAAAGTGTCCCCTTCAAACAGCATAGATCTGAATCACCAATATTTGGGGCATGACTTCTCTGCACATTATTCTGGGATTCCACTGGGTTTACCAGAATGTCCAAGCTTTGCACTGGATTGAAATTATTAATAACTTTAGCACCACTGCTCCTAGCTCTCTTCCGCTGTCTCTTCGGCAATACAGCAGGCAGGGCTTCAGTTAGAGGCAAATTTGCACTAATATTTACTGAAGGCTCCTCCAACAAAGCATTGTTCATGGACTCAGTGAGCTTCTCTGAGTACTCCTTTTCTGACTGAGAATTTGGTTTTTCATTACACACTGCAGTTTCCATGTTGATCAGTAGATAATCACTGGGAATCTTCTCCTTGAATTCAAGCATTGTCAACTAAAATTGTCTTCTCCATAATTTTTCTAACACCTGAAAGAATGGTCAACATAAACGAAAAAACAGATTCGTAAAACCTTTCTGCATTTTCCACAAGTAATAAAGAAAAACACGCTAATTCATTAAAATAGAGATCGAGCACCCAGAAGCCAATATCATTAAACACATGCTTGGATTTCAAAATTACAAATTTCATACCGAAAGCAATTAAAAAATCATAATAAAGTAGTAAAAGAATCAGTCCAGGGTGTATATTCACATAAGCACAATACCCTGGATCTGTAGGTTGTTATACACATCAACAACAACAACAACAACAAAGCCTTTTCCCACTAAGTGGGGTCAGCTATATGAATCCTAGAACGCCATTGCGCTCGATTCTGTATCACATCTTCCGTTAGATCCAAGTACTCTTAAGTCTTTTCTTAGAGTCTCTTCCAAAGTCTTCCTAGGTCTTCCTCTACCCCTTCAGCCCTAAACCTCTGTCCCATAATCGCATCTTCTAACCGAGCGTCAGTACGCCTTCGTTTCACATGTCCAAACCACCGTAACTGATTTTCTCTCATCTTTCCTTCAATTTCGGCTACTCCTACTTTACCTCGGATAACCTCATTCCTAATCTTATCCATTCTCGTGTGCCCACACATCCAAGGAAGCATTCTCATCTCCGCTACACCCATTTTATGTACATGTTGATGCTATTGTTATACGCATATTCACTTAAGATCAAAATTGAAATTAACAAGATAACAAATGATAATAGTAATAAACTGAACCAAAGGATCCATGAAGATGATGGGAAACTTCTAGCTGATGATCGACCTCCGCTATAACTAACGACTTTATTTTTCAGCAGTCATATAACAATAGGACTAAGTAATTTGCTTCATATAAAAATGGGATTGAGTAGTCTGCTTCGTATTACCAAATGGATTAAGTAATTTTCTTATTCTAATAAAGAATTTGAAACTTTGTAACATTGAAAATTCGAAAATTGCACTCAATCAGCTGATACACACAGGACTGAGATGGGATTAATAATTTTCTTCATACAACAATGGGATTAATCCATTTGCATCATATTAATGAAATGGTTATGTAATTTCCTTATTCTAATGAAAAAATCGATTCTATCGAAAATTTGCACTCAATCAGCAGATATACACAGGACTGAGATGGGATTAAGTCATTTTTTTCTTCATGTAAACATTGGGATTAAGTATATCCATATTGAAAACCATAAAAATTACACAGTCACCTGATATACAAAGAAATGAACACACATTAAAATGCATTCACAAACAATCAAGCAATCAAATTAACAGCTCAAAATTAGTTTCAAAGCAATAACACAATCACCATTCAGAAGCTAATCAACAACAATTATAAATAATAAAAAAAAAAGATAATATGAGCCGAAGCAAACAGGATAGAGATTAGTAAATCAAAAACGCAATTAATTCGTTAATTAACTAAATTTTTATCAGACATTTCAAAATATGAAGAAAATAATAGTTAACGGAGAACCGACCTCTGTTTAATCGGCAGTGTCAGCACCGAGCAGATTTCTGACGGCGGAATTAAGAGAAGACGCGGAGAAGCAACCTCGGCAGTATCAGTACCGAGCAAATCTCTGACGGCGGAAGTTAGAGAAAGAGCGGAGGAGCAACGGAATTCGCGGCGGAGAGAAGAAGCAGAAGAAGAGAGGAAAATGAATGAGTAGGAGGCGGAGGGAGTCGAAGCGGCGGCGAGTCGAAAGGTCGAAGCGTCGCTTTGGGTGTGGTGGTAGTGCAAAATTGGCAATTGGAAAATTTAACTGCTTTTCGCTTCCGCTCCGATGCGCGGCTACCTGTTGTTAACCTAGGTGGGCTATTTCGTCATTTTACAAGGTGTTTACTTTTGCGTTTTCATCCGCCGCCTCTGCGTATTCGGATTAGGGTTTCTCCGAGCTGGACTCTTTATTGTTGTTTTGGGCCTAGTTTTCTGTTAATGGGCTGATAAGGTCTCATTTGGCCCAAATGGTGATTTTGTTTTGGTGCAAAGCCCAAATGTTGATAGTTCCGCCTTTAAGTAGTTTAAATTAAAGTAACATATTCCAAAAAGAAAATTAAAAGTAAAAAATATGATTAAAAGAAAAAGATTAAATTGTAGTAATGATTTTTTAACTTTTAACTAAATTCATTACCATTGGTCGTTCAACCCATCAAAACGTGCAGCTGTGATCCCTTAACTAAAATTACATTATCATTGTTTCCTTAACTTTAATCTAACTGGAGAAATGGTCTCTCAATTTTAATTCAATTGGAGTAATGATTCCTCAACTTTTAACCCAATTGTAGCAATGGTCATTCTAACATAATTCATTTTGACAAAATTCTAACGAAGTTGACGAAAATGACCATAGCTATATATTTTGACGAGTTGAGGGACCAATGATAATGAATTTTTAGTTGATAGATTATTGTCTCAATTTGATTAAAGTTAAAAGACCGTTGCTACAATTTACTCAAAAAAAAAAAAATCTATTTTTGAAAATATCTTCTGATAGTGGGCCCAGCGCATGCGATTTGAATTTCACTATAAATACGGAAAGTTGCCGCTGGCTTTACTACTCAGTGCTCTGGCGACTCAGATCTGAAGTCCAAACAACGCAACGCTCTCACAGGTAACCGTCGCTCGCTATCTCTATCTGCTGTTTGTTTCCCGAGAAAATGCAGGAAAATTATGTACAGAAATCTTCTGAAATTAGCTAAACTGAATAATTTACTCTACATTTGGTGGATCTGTATCTGAATTTACAATCGTGATTTTACTATGGAATCGCTTCTGTTTGTTGTTGTTATTGTTGTTGTAGATTGATGTTTATCACTCTCTTATGATCTTGTGAACATTGTGCATTTTCTTTGCTTAATTTTGATTCTCGTGGATTAGCTAGAAATTTTCAGATTGCAAATGCGAGTTTGTTTAATCAAGTTGATTAATTGCAAATTTTGCAATTGCTTGAATCCATCTTTCATTACTGTTTTCGGGTCAAATTTCGCACTCGGAGTATGAGATATGGCCGAGGAATTGAATTTCATGGTCCTTTAGTAATTGATATGATCAGAGTTGCATTATTGGAGGTTGGGTTTTGATCATTTGATGTTATGAATTAATGAAAAATATGAATTTCGAGATCCGGAGACATGATTTGTGGCGTAATAGCACAAAATGTTTCGGAGATAAACAACAACAAAGCCATATTGCACGAAGTGGAGTCGGCTGTATGAATGTTAGAATGCCACTGAGCTCGGTTTTGCGCCAAGTCTCTTCCCTATCGGAGATAATCCCCGAAAATGGAAATTGACTAGAACTGTGTAATGTGAGATGGCATTTTCTTGCTTGCTTTGTGATTCATGCAACCCTGGGTACTTTTTGGTTGGTATTGCTTTGTGTTGGTTTCATTCATTGTTATTTAATTGGTTCGAAACCTATGTGCAGTATCCACTCATTCGAGGAGAGGAACATGGGTCGTGGAGTCAGCAGCGGAGGGGGAGAAAGCTCTTTGGGCTATCTGTTTGGAGGTGGAGAAGAAACTCAGAATCCCGTGGCGAAAAGGGGTGCAGCTCCTCAGAACGAGGCGCCGGTTCCAACTGCGGAACCACCTGCTCAGAGGGCTACTGCTCCCGCACCACCTGCAGAAGTCAATAAGGAGATTCCCGCTGGCGTACCTGGGAACACTTCAAACAACTATTTCCGAGCTGATGGCCAGAACTGCGGCAACTTCATCACAGTATGATCTTTGTTCATAGTCATGTTTTGTTCGGTAGAAATTTCACCTACATTTCTGTTTCTCTCGCGAAGAGATTGCTCGCAAATCTGTGATTCGCAGATTTGCATATTTTCTGATGTTCTGACTGGAAATTTGAATGTTCTTATCTTTTACTAATAACTTTTATCACCCGTTCATGTTTGGTATTCACTATTCATGGCTTTGAAATATGGTTGACAGGATCGACCATCAACAAAAGTGCACTCAGCTCCCGGTGGTGGATCATCCCTAGACTACCTGTTTGGAGGCGGTGGCGGTGGCAAGTGAAAACCTCACGCCGCTGAAGTTGGAATCATCAGTTTGGTCCTCGGGCACCTTTGTAATTTGGACCCTCTGTAGATGATTTCTCCTCTCCAACATTCTAGCACTTCCTGTGGCGGGGATTTGTTGGGTTTAGGCTTTTATGCTGCTGAAACTTTCGAGTTAAGTTGGCCGATGATATTATCGTTCACAAATTGCACTACATGTTCTACAAGGTTTTTTCGTTTTAATCGAAATTTGTACAAGTTTTCTAGATTCTGTTCGAAGGAAAGAAGCACACGAGAAGCGTTTCTCCATGAAGTCGCTTAAAAAATCACTTGATGTTATCGAAACCCCTTTTTTGTGCTCGATTTTGTAGTGTTCTTGAAAAATACCTAGGAACGAACCTTTTTTTCTCCCAACTCTTTCGTATAGAATGAAATCAATTGACCGACAAATCAACATGGGTTAGGCCAGTTAGTCAAGGCAATGTGCTCGCCCATTTTTTACTCAAATTCGAATCCCCGTCTAGAGATTCGTTCAAAAAAACATATGATGAACTTGCCCTAGCATCAAGATTCAAAGAACAAAATTCATGAACCGAAAAAGTACCAATATAAAACCAGATAAAACTACCAATGTAACGAATTTCCATCTAACGGAGACTGTAAACGATAACAAGGTAAAATTTAAACTAAAAAGACCAAACTTCTTATGAGCAAAAGCAACCTCTTTTTTTCCCCTTTCAATTAGGAGGACCTAATCGAGAATTCGCCCGAGTTTTGATGAGCACTATAAACTAGAGTTTAAACCTACGACTGTTATTGGAGGTTTGCAGATAACAACGGTAGGAAAATTCTGTGTCTCCCGTCATAGGCATCTATGATCTCCTTCGCATGATGAATGTACAGATACCCGGTGGTTTTTCATTTCTGGTTATGTTCAGAAGTAATCCTCAATTTCAAATGGATGCTGCGTCGTTCTGTCCTTCCGATGTTAGTTTCCTGTCACCTGCCATCAGAACAGTAAGAGACGATTGTACAGATTTGTTTCTCAACTCATTGCTTTGGCATAACTCATTATAGTAAGCATAAGCATTTGCGTACAATGCCGATGAGCCCGTAGCAAGGCAAATAAGTAGAAAAATACTCGTTACATTCCTACCTTGGCTTAGGGATGAAGCAGCAGCGGAATTAGCAGACAAACTTTCCCTTGTAACTGCAGCGTTGAAATTTGGTGCATCAGTCGGCTTATGAGTCCCGTTGTCTCCCACAACTTCAGAGTTAGAGTTCGGAGCATTATTGGCCTGATTTTTACCCAGATTCAGAGGAACCTCTGACTGCTCGGGGTTTCCAGTAACCTGCATAAGAGTCCAGGGTTTAGGTGCAACCCAATATATAGCCCACAACAGATAACATTCAGTATGCACACGACAAACAAAACAAATTTCTACCCCTCTTATCTATTCAAGACAAGGGAAAGAAAAATCAGACCTTATGCAGGTGAGAAGCAGCCGAATATGCTTGATTGTTTGAAATGGAACCTGCAGCAGCTTCTGTCTGCTCATGTGATATGGGCGCCTTTCCATGAACATTATCCGTCAGATCTGTAGTTTCTTGCCTGATGCCTCTAGAAGTTTTTGACTTGCTGCTGTAATCACCATTTGACATCAAACCACCAGCTTCACTGGCAGTCCGCTTCCTGATAAGGGATTCACACAATCAAAGTTGAATCAAAAATATTCAAATATATTAGTAATATACCTCAACAAAACACACACACACACATATAGACACCATATTCTTACCTGCTGGAATTAGGAATATCAATGTTAAACCCGGGCCGGTTGGGAAAAACTATACCACGAAGAAGCTTTCCATCAACAACAGTTTCAATTGCGTATCCATCAGAAAGTTTGTCAGTAACCTTTGCAACAAATGTCTTCTTCTCCAAAGAAAGCTGGGACTGATTCGAAGGGATATTCTGTCTGCCTGCAGTTATAGCACAAGATCATTCGTGAATGACATCAAAATCCCTCCTCACGTACATATTCAATTTCAATCAGTGATTTTTTTTTTTCTTTTCGATTACATTATTTTTCATTTTCTTTGAATAGATAACAAATAAAAGTCGCAAGTAGGGAATGGAAGCTTCAGTTACTGCAAAGAGTCATACTAGCAAGGCCAAAACATAAAATGCAAATGGAGGTACATACACATCGCAGCAAGTCAAACATAAAACAGTACAGGTACAACGCTTCCCTTTAAGGAAGTATCTAAAAAAAAGTCAAGATTGGCCACCAGAGACTGTTAATCATATTGACAAGAGTTTAAAACGAAGAACCAAAGGGTAGTCCTGTCCATCAGCAAATAGTTGTGCTGCATCATTCACTGCGTCACAACTTGTGTTTGCAGAATCCAACCGCTTACTCTACCTCAGAACTTCAGTGCTTCACTCATAAAGAGATTGAATAGACAAGAAAGCAAGGGACCTATGGCAAGCTCTCCACCAAACATTCAAGGAAAAATAAGTCTAGGGCCAACACCACTTTGGCCATGGTTGGTAACAGTCAAACTAACACCGTTGGATTGCAAGTACAAATTTATATAACACTATAATAACCTAATTCCTCATGTCCCTGTCCATTGAGAAAGAACCCTTGTTCTCTTCTCGGCTAAGAACCTAGATCATAGAACAGCAGACACCGAACCTTCTTTGGTCCTTTAAAATGGTTAAGGGTCCGTTTTGGGTGAGGAATTTGGTGGCTCCAAGGGATTGGCAAGGATGGGAGCAGGACACGAATGTGTTTGTGCATGTTAGCCATTTGAAAAAATAAATAAATAATAAAGTTATCTGAAAAAAAATAAATAAAAACAAAAACAAACATGATAAATTCTAATTTATTACATAACACGAAAACCACAGCAACTATTAGAATTGTACGAGTGGAGATCTAATTATCTGATTTTTCTCAGAAACCAAACAACAGCCACCAGGCTTGGAAATCCCAAATTCATCGGATTGGAGATTAGGCTCAGCTTAGTCGACAATGAATCAGATCTGAGCTTATGCTTCTGAGAAGTGGAAGCGCGGCCATCAGACCAGATAGCCTTGACCAAACCATTTCATCCAAACCGAGAGAGGGTGGGAGAGAGAGATTGAGAGATAGAGAGAGAGAGAGAGAGGGAGAAAGAAAGAAAGAAAGATACAGATGGGATGGAATGGGAATTGCACATGTGCAAAATTCGGCTCCAGCTTCGGCTTCAGATCTGGATACTGCTCCGGCTCCAACTTTGGCTTGAGCTCCGGATGCTGCTCCGGCTCTAGCTTCGGCTTCAGCTCCGGATACTGCTCCTGCTCCAGCTTCGGCTTCAGCTCCAGATTCAGCTCTGGCTTTGGCTTCAGCCTTGGATTTTTTGTGCGCGTTGTCATCTGCTTGAGATCCTCAGTCGAGAGAGAGAGAGAGAGAGAGAGAGAGAGAGAGAGAGAGAGAGAGAGAGCGACAGAGAGAGGCGACAACAGCAATCTCACCTATTTATGGTTGAGATTAGGGTTATCCATTGATTTAATTCCCGGTTTAAAGCCACACTTTGGCCCCGGGTTTTTCAAGACCTTTTAAAATTTACCCAAACACGGTATTCACGAATCCAGATTTTCCCAATGTCATCCCCTTGTCAAAAACCCCCTTCTAAACCCTCACACAAATGCACCCTAAACGACTAAACATTTAGCTAGTTCAGTGCAACAGCAGCAACATAATCCAACAGCTGCCAAGCGCATCTTTCATTTGCATGATAAATTTAATGAAACCAGTCATTGTGATAAACTTAACACATACACACACGTAGGCTAATGAAACCAAAACACATAAAACTGATAGCACTCATGATATCTGTTTTCATGGAGTAAGAATACTCGAAAGTGACACAAAGAAAAAAGAAGAAAAGAGAGAACTTCCTAGGGTCAGACAGCTTTCCCTGCCTCTAAATAACTTAGGAGTATGCAAATTCGGCAAAAATAAGAAAACAATAGAGCACATTTCAGACATGTCATTCTGATTCCTACAGGAAATATGTACATTTGATGCATAATAAATAAATGAGTTAATGAAAACAGGACACTTTATCTTAGTAAGTAACACTTACATTGTTGGGCATAAAATGAAACTGGCATGGGTTGGCTCATATCAGCACTAGTTCCAACCGGAACAAGGGCTCTGTCATGAACAGAGGTGAGATTTTGCTCTTGGCACTTTAGCTTCAATTTCTTCCTCAGCGATAATTTCTCTAGCTTACTTTCATTCTCCCTGGCAAGCCCTAAAATTAGAGATTATATCAGGCCAGTAAGACTCCATACACGTATAAAATTTTACCCTAATAAGATAACATCGATAATTCGGCGAGGAGGAATGAAAAGATAATACTTAACCTGTGTTTAGGTAAAACATGTCATCCAGTGCCTCAAGACCTTTACTGCAACCACCAATAAATACAAGAACACCTCCCTTGACAGGATCCAAACAGTCCCCAGCAACGGAAAATCTAGCAGACGGTCCATCACCAGCAGTTAGCACCTTGGTCCATACACCAGTATCTGCACCACCGTTAAGATAGAGTGGGTATTTAAGGATATGATTCCATAAAATATTAGGGCAATGGAAAGAACATAAAGTACATGTGACGAAAGGTGGCATAGACAAGAAGGTTCGGAAGCTTCAAACATCCATAAATGTAAGTAGCCAAAGGTGAATGTTTTGAAGGATTTCTTGAAACTTACCAACATCAAGCATGTAGAGGTCATTGTATAGATTTTGGGCGTCTGTGAATCCCCCAAAAACAAATAAGTTCTTCCCAAAAGCAACAGTACAATGACCCCCTCGGGGTGGCATAAACTGGCCAGTAGTTTTCAGCTCCCTCCAAATTAGAGTATCTAATGAAGTACCATAATACAAGAATTACAGAAGGCACATATCATATCCAATATCCGCGAGCTAGGTACTAGTAGTATCTAAATTACATAAAAAGTTTAATAAACTTGCAATTGGGTAAAAAAATTCAGAAAATAATGGTACCTGTATCAAGTATATGGACATCAGACAAATAGTAATCGTGCCCATCTTCACCACCAATCACAATAAGTTTGTTCTTCCAAGATGAACAAGTATGGCTATCACGCCGAGATGGTGGGTTGCCTGATGTTGTAGCACGTTTCCATACAAACGTCTCTACAAGATAGGATGAGAAAAGGGATTAAACATGTCTTACGTGCTATCTGTATCGATCAGTGACCTAGTTAAGTCGAGTGTTCAGGTTCTAGATAAATTTAGATCCCCAAGGCAATTTAAAACTGAATGTGATGTCCTACACCTAGAACGCTCCCTCTCTTCTTCCTCCCAGTCTAGATTCTAAAAAGAACAAGGTGACAGGGATGACCCTGTGCAATCCTATAAACTCACAGCACGAAAGAGCAAGAGGACAGAGACAAAATTCTTATATGACTTTACTGAACACCACACCAAGGTCCATACGGTATCCAAAAGACAGATATATCAAATAAGTAAACTCATAAGATCAATGCAACTGGTACCATGCAAATGCAGAATCATTATTTTTAACAACAAAAATGTTAGCAAGACGCAGCTAATATTGATAGACTTTACTGAAGAGCATGCCAACTTCATCTCCAAAGAAGTCCCACATGCTATCCAAAAACCTATGCTAAAGTGAGATATATCAAGTAAACTCATAAGATCCATGTGATGTAAATGCATAATTACTCTCAGAAAAATGTGTGATGAAAGTAATTCAAACCAATCCTCACCTAAGTGATTAATGAACTAACCTTACAAGGAAACCTACCTGTATTCAAAATGTAAAGATCATTGAAATACACTTCATTGTCGCTACTAGCAGATTTTCCACAGCCACCAAAAATAAATAGCCGTTTCCCAACAAGGGCAGCACTATGACCCTCCCGTGCCTCTGGTGCTTCGCCTCTTAAACTTGGAGATATCCATGTATGTAAAGCTACATGAACATTCAGAACATAAGCGGGAAGTGATATGCATATTTGAGAAATCAATAATAAGGAATTTGATGAGCCTTAAAAGGTCGCGGTGACAATAAATGTTGAGAATTGAGTATATCTGGTTACATAGTTCCAAACCAACAATAACGAATTTGATATAAGCCCTAAATGGTAACAACGTAGTAAATGTTGAAAATTGAGCACAACTGGTTTCAACTCTTCAATATACCAATCCAAAGTGGATAAGGAAAATAAGTCAATTGCCACCCCGGATTTAGAATAGCTGATTTAATTATTTATTTTCCGAAAAGGAATCGTCTGATTGAATTACTTGACCCAAAATAACGTATAGAAGGGTGAGCATACTACGTAGTCAAGAAAAGATATCAAAGCTAGGGAAAGAGCAAAAATATAAGAGAGAAAGCCACTCACAGGTGTCTAATATATGCAAATCCCTGAGAGGATTCATCCCATCCGTACCCCCAAAGACGAAGAGATTATTACCAACAGTGGTGCAGCTGTGGCTGTCCCTTGGAGTTGGCGGGGTGCCTTTAATCACTGGCTGGCTCCATGAATGCGTAGCTGCAGTCAGCAGAGTAAGAGTATAACAATAACAATCTCTATACAAAATGCAACAACACACAGGAAAATGCAGAGTGCTAGTTGTTAACACCAACGGGAAATTTGAAACCAAAGTTAAAGAGATTATGTAGCACTATCGAAATTTTATAACAAAAATAAAAAACACACAATAAAGATAAACAACTTTGGAAGTTAACAAATGAAACCCCTAAAAATCAAAATTCAACAGCATAACCCCATGAAGCATTTACTCTAATCCTGGTAGAAAATTAACCCATCACAGCATTTGATTCCAATTTTCTAAAATTACCAAATTAAACCCAACAAAAACCCTAATTACAAGCCAACTAAACACCCCTTAAACATTAATTAACGTGGTTAACTACATAAAGATTCAAGCTTTTTTCCCAGAAAAATCACAAGCAACCAAATTTACACAAACCCACATGCAAAAAACGATAAAGGTAAAAATTAAACGAATAATCTGGGTAAATTTTTAGCATTTGGGGAAGACCCACCAGTGTCAAAGACGTGAACTTCGTTGGTCTGACAGTTATCTCTGCCATAACCACCGAATACATACAGCATCCGCCCTTCTTTGATTGCATTGCATGTATGGCCCCACCGCTTCCCGGGCCCAGACACCTCCCCCACCGCCACTCCTCCTCCTTCTTGTTCTTGTTGTTGCAGGTGAGCTTGTTTGGGCTGCAGCTGCACCCTTTCCCACTTCATTGTGTTTTCTGGGTAAACAATTGGGAAGAGACGCCAGTTGGGTTAGAAAAATGGGGAAGCAGTGAAATATGCTGAATTACAGAGAAGAATTTTATTTTATTTTATTTATAATTTGGGTTTTTGCGTTTTGAGATTGAGCTGATTTTATTTTTTCTAGTCCATGCAAATAAGGACATTGAAATTGAATAAATAAAATTAAGAGATAGGATCATAGGAAATATTTTTTTAGGAAACGAGAGAAAATGCGTTTGAGTAGGTGTATTTGAAGCCACGTATTATGATTTAGTCAGTATCTTTCTTTATTGTAAGTGTGAGGTTTTAAATTTGATTTTCGTAAAAAACGAATTTAAATCATATTATTACTAATTTATCGTGAGACTACTTTTCTTTTAGTGTAAAAAATATTATTTGTCCATAAAAATAAAATTAAAAAAACTAAAAAGTGCATGTGGAGAAGCGATTTTTACCTACATTTTATAGGAAATTGATTTATTTAAAAAAATGTGTTTAGGTGATTAAGAAATTAAAATAAGTGTGTAGAAATTGTTTTTTATTTAAAATTGAAAAAATAAATGATATGTACTACCATAAGGCCTCGTTTGGATGTGTTTTCAAAATGACTGAAAACGTTTTTAGAAAAAAGTGTTTTTGGGTTTCAAAAGCACTTGAAGTGCTTTCTCCAAGAAGCACTAGTTATGTGTTTCTTCTAGGAAGCACTTTAAGTGCGTTTCCAGGATTTGCTTACATTTTACTAAAAATTAGTTCCAAAAACATTTTTACCAAAAGCATTTTCAGTCATTTTTAAAGCACATCCAAACAAATTCTAAAACATCAACAAAATTTGCTTTCTCATATCATAAAAAAGAAAGTTTGTAATTTGCTTTCAAATTTATAAAAATAACTTTTTGTTATCTTTTACAGAAATTACAACGTGATTTAATCAACAAAAGAATAATTAGCTCTAAATGGATACAAATTAGTTTATTCATGAATAAATTTGGTTATGTGATGGCACGTTACATGTCTTCACTGCAATTGTGTTTGTTACATTCAGACTTTCACTTCAGCATCATCGTTCGAATGTTACATAAAGTTATGACGGCCTTTCATAAAAATAATAGGAGGTTTAACAAAACACTTTAGGTACTGTTTATTTTTAACGAAAAATCACATTTATACTTTTCTTTGATACTATTCACTATACCTTTAAAAATAATTTCGTTAAAAAAAAATTTGAACTTTTCGCTAATTTTCCTAAAAATATATAGTACACAACGAACCTTTGAGTTCGAGAAACTCAATTCATATATAAAAATCTATAGCCTTTTCGCTGTCTAACACGGATATAAATAGTGTTTTTTAACTTATTGGGCGCATGCTAACACACGTCCAAACATCTTTTTCTTACCGTGAATATCATGTTATATTTCTTACCATTAAAATTGTGATTCGATTTCTTTGGCAACAGGATAGTGCATTCTGAATTATATAATTTATTCCCTAATTTATTTTTTTTTAAGTTGTTATTTAAATTTTAAAGTACTAAAATTTGGAATGTAGGGTTTAATTAAACTGTTGATAATTTTATCCGAGTCCGAAATAATGAGAGGATACAAGATAAATAACTGAAGAACTTCTTGTTTTGTATCTTTATTAATATATCAATATCAATCAATTAAAAATAAGAAGTTTTAACAAAACACTTCCGGTACTGTTTACTTTTAACGAAAAACCAAATTTATACATTTCCCCTGGTACTATTCACTATACTTTAAAGGGCTTTTCATTAAAAGGGAAATTTTTTTGTACTTTCCGTTAGTTTTCCTTAAAAAATAAGAGAATTTTTTTATAAAATAAATTAAATTAGGTAGTTTAAAATCGCTTGTTAAATGAAAATTTAAATTAGATAGATAATATCGTTTGTTCAAAAAAAAAAAAAAAAAAAAAAAGCGTTTTCCACAGGAAAGACCCTAAAATATGATGGGAAGCAGTAAAGTTCAGGAAATATTGTGAAGTCTGTCTCAATGGATGATTAGGTAATTTAAACCATTCACTACACGTTGGGCTACCTTAAGTTTCCTAGCCAGAAAATCTACAACGCGTTGCACAACTAATGCGCAGAGCCGTCAACAAAACTCAGAAACGCCCCTTCCGAAGCCGTGCCCACGCTATGGCTGCAACCGCAGCACCCCCCAAGTGTGCAGCTCCTGAGATATGTCTGTCTCCCTGCAATAAGAGCATAATGCTACCACTAAATGTACTCTGAAATAACGAATGACAATGGCAGTCGTTTCATGATAACCGTGACTCTCAACTCCTACTCTGTTTCATGGCACGAATGCACCACAAACACACACACAGACACAGACACAGAAAGGAAAGTGACACCAGGGAGATAACCAACGTACCTCTATTATCCTCAAGACGTCGTTCCCAATTAGAAAGATACCCTGAAATGGAAAAGGAGAGGTTAAGTTTTCAAGGATTTGCTTAACAGCCTCGACCAATCACACAACAATAATGAATCAAACTTACCAGCAGGATGGCAGGAACTGGTATGATGAATTCTAAGTAGAGGGTTGCTTTTGGGAAGAGAATATATCGAGCAACATGATAGCATTAACAGCTCCGCTTGCCCCCTGGATGTCACAAACAGACACAATAGTGAAATGAATGTAATGTTCACTGAATGTTCTTTTTCAGAGTATAACAAGTAATACAAAGCAATGTATACCAACAATCTGTGAAAAATGAAACTTAGCTTTACGCATGGGAAATAATGATAGATAAAAACAAGCCAGGGGGAGGAGAAGAAAGGTAAACTCAAAGCTCATCCACAGAATTAATATCCCATTCCTATTGCCATGAAAACGCTTAATGGGATGGCCGGCATGGCATGATGCTAAACTCTGGCACCATACGATAGTCTCATCTTTCATAATTTAGTTTCTTTGGTAATTTTTCTTTCTCTAGGCAGTTGTTCAAATTTCTTGGGGAAATTATACTCTAGGCCAGTATCCTGGTTTGTTCAGAAATGTAAAATCACAAAACCAGTCCTGGGCAGTTTCTGAAAGCATACCAGTCCTGGTATCTTTGCCGCCTCCGTGTTCCATGGCTTTCGGCCCTGCAAAGAGCAGATTGTGATGAGACACTCAAGAGCTAATACCGTACAATCACAAAACCACCCAGGAGTTCCCATACATTTTAAGAGTTCAGTAAGTAAATTAGAAGCATTATCTTCTGTGAACAAGTTCTTCTGTTGATTATCATTTGAGCAAAGCAATGAACTATAGCTTTGCTCAAATGAGTATTATTAGTTTGAGTATAATTTCACCTGCGATGACGCGGCCAGGAAGGCTTTGTGGACCAAGAAAAAGACTGAGCCACCAACTGCCCCGGCTAGATACAACTTCAGCAAAAACTCAGGCCCAAAAACTCTTCCAATCTGGTCAGTGCACCAAAAGCAGACAAAGATGATAAAAACAGATTGAACATAACCCTTCATGGTTATCAAATTTGACAATTCAAGCAAGCTTAGCCGTATGGTAATGATTGTATTGAAATTTCGATCATAAAAGGCTTACATTCATCCCAAAAAAATATAGTCCGATCATGTTAGAAAAGATATGTCCAGCATCAATATGACTGAATGCAGAAGTTATCAACGTGTGCAGCCGTCCACTTGCAAAATTGTGTAATGAAATCTGGTTAGAGAAAGAGTAAATTAACAAGTCAGGAAATTGAAGTGAAAAACACTCTGTCATCAAACTAGAGTACTAGCAGCAGTAAAGAGCTTGTCCTTCAACGTTCTGTTTCCTTAATCTTTCCTTAAGTTTAGGATTGCTTCTCACTTTTAAGAGAGTGCACACGAAAGGTGTCAGAACTCAGGAAATACAGCCATATGACAAGTTGACGACATTTAGTTAACTTCAAATTTAGAATGACTCACGGTAAAATTATTCATCATGAAGCTACGATCTGCAATCCTCCATAAAAGAAAAACAGCAACATTAGCTACAATCAATCCCAAAACCACTTCATTATTCGATAACCTCCCGAACCACGACCTCCTACAAAGGTGAGAAAATAAGTTACTGACAGATTAACACTACGATAGCAACTGCATATGGTCAAGGTTTGTTATGAATGAGCAAGGTTCTACACTCTATCGCAGTGCAGTCTAGTAGAACTCAAATAATCTTCTAGATAGAAACTATGAGTACAGACATCACCATCCCAAAAGGTCATGTATTTGGTTGATTTCATATGCTTTCTTCAATAATAAGGTGACAAATTTTGAAACATTACTTATTTTATAGCATAACTCGAAGAAACAAGCTGAATCAGAAAGTGAATTTAAACTCTGCTCAATTCTGAGTGGAGCAAATCACCACAAATGTCCAAAATTAATCTCTTTAAACTCACAAAACAGACACTTTGTTACATTTAAATTAACCCAAATAGGCCGAGTATGAATCTCCTCCCCGTAGACTTGAGTAATTCTAATACCGCCTGGTAAACAGTAAAAGCAATGCACATATTTTTTTCATGAAAACTTTAACGAAAGCTTTCGGTACTGTTAACCATATTTTTACACTAAAAAGTCAATATATTATTCACTTTGACCCTTAATTTTGTCGTTAACGTTAAAACTCAAAGTTTTCAAATAGTTTTCATTAGTTTCCTTTTTTTTTTCATTTCCTAACAGTAAACTGCGTTATTACATCAGATGGGCAAAAGTTTGCATTTCTCATCATTCAACTTTCAAAAATGGCAAAAGCAAACGTTTCCAGTAAAAAATGCAGGAGCTTTTGTGATGAACAGGAAGCAAGCAATGGCGTGCAGCACATAAAAAGTAATATTTGTACGGCCAACCAATCACGATACGTGTCGTTCTTCTCCGTTACCAGCCACATTACTCTCTTTTTTTTCACTGGTCAAATCAACCGTGAAAATATGAAATCAATCAAAAGCCAATAAGAAATCCCAAATCAACCCAAAGAACCCTAGCTGAATCACATACAATTTCACACATTCTAACAGAAATCACACAATAATGCAAAATTTAAACAAATAAAAAAAAGTTATTGCAGATTAAACATTACTTCAAAAACATTACCATGGACTCCGATGAGAAGTGAAATTCTGGTTGAACTTAAAGCTCCGTTTGGGAAATTGGGCTCTGAGGAATCCGAGTCTGCAGTCCGAAAGGCTCTTGCTTGAAGCTCTCAGAAGGGTATTCGAGAAACCCAGAAAGGATTGCTTTCTGAGTGATGAGTTGGAGAGAAACCCATGAATTTTTTGCGCGAGAGTGTGCTGCGACCGCCATGGATGAGGGTGGTGGCGAAGCGGGAGTGCAGGAAAGGAGCTGAAGAAGTGGTTTTGGTTCTGGGCTATGGGCGGTTTGGCGAGAGAAAACGTTTTGTGACATTGGGAGTGGAAGATTGAGGAGGTGGTGGCGGTGGATGTGGCGGAGGTTGGGAGGTTTCTGGGGAGGTTTGAGGAGGCTAGTTTCAGAGAAAGGAGCCTCTGCATTTTTGAGGCTTTGATGGAGGGCGCTCCTCGGTGGGTATTGGGAAGTTCCTTGCTTAGAGAACAGGGCACCCTCCAAGTCCCTCTTGAAATCAAATGGAAATGTGAATAAAGTTTGCAAATTTAATTGTGGGAGGAGAGAAACTTGAGCTTTATTGGTTTCTGAGATTTGTATAACACATTATTTTGATAATTATCAATAGAAATGGTCCTGAGATCCATTAGTTTGGTTATTCCATTAAAAACTCCGTTGTCTCGGAGTTCTTGACCAGAAGTTTAGGCAATTTTCAAAATTTCATAACTCAATCATTTCTTAACCAATTTCGACCCATAATATATCATAAAAAAATAGAAAAGTATAGAATAAGATTATACCTATTTGGAAGCCCCATGGTTGCCAGAGATGGTCGGAAAATATCCTAAAAGGTGACTGGTTCACGGAAAAACTGAAAAACTCGCCAGAAACTGGATAAACTTTAAACGTTCATAATTTCTTCAATACTTAACGAAATCAAATGATTTAAAAAAGGATCTCCAGTTAACTACTTTCGAGTCGTTTTCCAGCCAAATCACGGCGAATTAGCCGTTAAGAAAGGTACCATTCTCTTCGTCTTATTGAGAGGTATGATTTTTTTTTTTTTTTTTGAATCACTTGTTTTCGTTGAGTATTGAAGAAGTTATGAACGTTCAAAGTTTATCCAGTTTTCAGCGAGTTTTTTAGTTTTTCTGCAAACCAATCACATTTCAGACTATTTTCCAGCCATACGACAACCATTGAGCTTCCAAATAAGTGTAATATTGTTCTACACTTTCCTATCTTCATTTTGATATATTATGGGTCGAATTTGGTTAAGAAATGATTGAGTTATGAAGCTTTAAAAATTGCCCAAACTTTCGGCCAAATAGCTCCGGGACACTTAACGGAGTTTTTAACGGAATGACCAAAATAATGGATGGTGAACAATCTCAAGAACCATTTCTATTGATTTTCAATGTCAGGGATTAAGGTGATGTGTTATGCAAATCTCAAAGACAATTTTGGCAAAAAAATCAAGAAACTTGCTTAACTTAGGATTGGGAATGACCAAATTACGGTATTACCCCAGTTGATCCACTCATGATTTTCTTATGTTGAACATAATTTTTGGTCAAACTATTTGATCATGTGACATGTTTGACCTTGTCATACTTTATAGAGTTTATGTAACATCCCACATCGTCCAGGTGAGTGGATCCTCTAAACCTTATATGTATATTCTCATCTCTACCTAGCACGAAGTTTTTTGGAAGCTCATTGGCTTTGAGTTCTGCCGGAACTTTGAAGTTAAGTGAGTTCGGGCGAGTGCATTCCTAGGATGGGTGACCCACTGGGAAGTTCTCGTCTAAGTTTTCAGAAACAAAATCATGAGGATGTGGTCAGGGCCCAAAGCGGACAATATCATGTTACGGCGGAGTCGAGCCCAGGATGTGGTGGAGTCCGGGTCGGGATATGACAATTTGGTATCAGAGCCAATTCCTGGCCAGAAGTGTGTCGACGAAAACGTCGGGCCCCTAAGGGGGGTGGATTATAACATCTCACATCGCCAAGGAAAGTGTATCATATAAACCTTATATGTATATTCTCATCTCTACCTAGCATGAAGCCTTTTGGAGCTCACTGGATTCGAGTAAATGTCTAGTTTTAAAAGTTTTAAATAATTATTTAGAATGTTTTAAGAAGTTAACCAAGTATAAATCACTTTTAAAAATTGAGTAATTAAATATTTTAACCTTTAAATTTTTATTTAAAAGTATAAAAATTAAAATTTGACTGTTAAAACATGCGCAACGCCGGAACATACCACCCAAGAATTTTTGTAGCTTGTGACGTTGTATCCGGTACTTGTTCATGTAGTTTTGCGTTCGACAAGCTCCAAAACCAGAATAATGGCCATTAGGGTTCTAACGAGAACCACAGTTACACGCTTCACAAGCATTTTAACCGCCAAGCAAAACCCAAATTTCCCAAACCAAAAGTCCGAATCTTTTTCCACAAACCCAGCAAAACCCAGATTTACCCAGCAATCCCAGTACCGGAAACAGATTTCCCTCGCCACTCTGCTCCAAAGGTACGGCTTCCCATCTTCTCTGCTCCACAATTTCCTCTCAAAGCATCAATTTTTATTGAATTCCAACTTACAGGAATTAGAGAAGTCTCTGGCTGTTCTTTTATCCTTCAAAATCCCCCAGAAATCCCTTGTTTCTTTGATTTGTGACTGCCCCGGGGTTTTGGATTTTCAGTTTCTGAAGAAATGGGAAAAGGGATTTTCAAATTTGGGGATTTTGAGTGCTTCCCCATTGATGGTTAGGAGTGTTTTGGAACAATCTAAGAGGTTTCAGATTGACCCAGATGGGTTTTTTAGGAGTGTGGAGGTTTTGAGGGGTTTAGGGTTTATGGATGGCACGGTTATTAAGGTTTTAGAGGGGTTTCCAGGAGTGGTTTTGATGAATGGGAGGGAGATTCAACGGAGAATCGAATTCTTGGAGGGAATTGGAATTTCGAGGGATGAAATTAATTGGGTTCTAAAATATTTTCCTGGGGTCATAGGATTTGGGGTTGAAGATAGGCTGAAGCCATTGCTGTGTGAGTTTAAGGGTTTCGGTTTTAGCGAGGATGTGATTAGGACAGAGATAATGAAAGAGCCACGAATTCTTGGCATGGAATTGGGCGAATTTTCGCAGTGTGTGGAATTCTTGAGGACTTTGAAGTGTAGGGTACCAATCAAGGAGAAGATTTTCAGTGAGGGAGAGTTTAGAGCTGGGTTTGAAGTGAAGTTGAGAGTTGACTGCTTGTGCAGATATGGGTTGATTCGTAGAGAGGCTTTTGAGGTGTTGTGGAAGGAACCGAGGTCAATTATATATAAGGTGGGGGAAATTGAGAGGAAGATTGAGTTTTTAATACAAAGGATGAAATTCAGTACCCGTTGTTTGGTTGAAGTTCCACAGTATTTGGGTGTGAATTTTGAGAAGCAGATCATTCCTCGGTACAATGTGATCGAGTATTTGAGATCTAAAGGCGGGCTTGGTTATGAGGTGGGGTTAAGAGGTTTGATCACGCCTAGCAGGCTTAGATTCTATAACCTGTACGTCAAGCCATATCCGGACTGTGAAAAAATGTTTGGGAGATTTTCAGGAGATGTTAAAGTTCAAAGCCGACATCCTGCTGGACTATGGAAACTTTTCAAGCCACAAAAGTATCCAGAATCCAAAGAAGATGTGACGAACACAAAGCTATTTATGAAATCTCTGGGTTAGTGTTGCACCGTTTTTGAGCCATTTGTCATCCTCCAAGTTGAGGACTTTATCAGGTAGACTTTTGTCTGTAATCTGAATTCATGGAAAAATGGTTGGTGGCATGAAGTTATTTTGGTGCATGGTAGACATAGTCATGGTATACACTTGGCTTTTGGCACTTTGCCTTTTATGCTGCCTGCAGAAAGTTTTAAGAAAGCTTAAAGATTTGCATTGCTAACGGAGTTAGCCGTTTCCATCCATTGCACTCCATTCTTTATTGAATTGAAGAAAAGTGGCAGTGATTTTTGCATATGCCGGGAGTTGGATGAATGAACAATTGCAATATCTTTGGCAGAAAGATTATACAAGGTAAAAGTGAACTTAAGGGCTAGGGATTCCTTTGAATCCTGTTTGTTGTGGAACCTAGGAATTGATACCTGTCTACCCTCTGCTTCTTCTTTAAGTGTATCTCGTGTTCTGATATCTGCTTGTTGCAAATAACTTCGAGTCAGCATGGACTTCTCTGATTCCTATTGATTGCATTACCTCGTCATCATTCATCTGCGACTTATTTTACACTCTACTTATCATGTGTTCTGCATTCAAGGCGATATAGAATGAAGAAGCTGGTTCAGACAACAAATTGAATGTTCATTTGTACAAGCAACAGATTGATCACTTATACAAGCTCAGTCAACAATATTGGATTTGGCTACCGTGATTGGCTTCCAGAGGTCCTTGAATCTTGAGGGGATATCGAGAAGATAACTTGTGCAACCACTTTGATGTTCAGTGTAAAACACGTCTTGAAAACCTTGCTTTGGGCGAGGACTGCAAATGGGGGGTTCAAAGGAAATGAACAAAACAACATCAAGGATAAGCAGATGTTCAGAGCTTGCTGATGGAATGGTTGAATCGGCTATTATTTCCGCGGATTCATTTCTTCCGCAGATGGATGCTGATCGTGTATGGAATCGTTTCAAGTCCGGTGGTTCGGAATGTCTTCGGCTTTGGTCTTTTTTATCAATGCCTGTCATTTTTACGGACCATCTCTTGTATTATATTTCTGCTTAGAAACTATTACACATTTTGCATTTGTACTTACGGAAAATGTAGGCTTGTTTGGAAGTACTTTTAAAATTACAGAAAGCACATTTAGCGAGAATATTTTTGGGTTCGAATTTCGAGATTTCCTTGCATTTTTGCTAAGGATTAGTGCTAAAACTATTTACATCAGAAGTGTTTTCAACTATTTTTAAAAAACACTTCCAAACGAGTCTGTAAACCGACTTGGAGATGTATCTTGACAATATTACAAACCTAAATGAGAGAGCAGATAAGTCTATAAGCGATATTGTTAATAAAATGCCACAAGATCAACATGTGTATAGAAGCCCACAATGTCTCCCATGATGTTGTGCTGGAGCTTGCCCTACGCCTCTGCTTGTATTGGAAAAAACCCTAATTAATGGCTAATAATTATTTTCGCACTATCAACTTTTTCTTATTCACACGTATTTCTATGTTTTGATTTTTGAATTAAATAAATAAAAAAATAAAAATAAAAATAAAAACTGTCCAGAAGTTGAAAAAAATAGTGAAAAACATTGCTCTACAGCACTATAGATTATAAGAGCATCTCCATCTTAGAGCAGCTCCACCAGAGCTTTTTTTGCCCAGCACCAAGTCCAAATAACAGCCCGGCATGCAAGGAAAGTGCTCCAGCCCGCCAACTTGCCTGGCACCCAGCCCGTGCCAGTCAAGAGCCCAGCCCAAAATGGACAGACCCATTCCCCGGTCTGTTTCTGGCGCGTGCACAACACGCGGGAGGCCAGGCGAGTAGCCGACAGCTTTGCAGGCGGTGGGGCCCGCGTGGCAGGGCAACTTGCAGTCGTCCGGGGTGAAGGATACGTGGCCTCCTCAGAGCCGTTGGATTTCCAACGGCTAGTTTTTTAGGCCGTTGGATTTTCAACGGTAAAAAAAATTTAAATTTAAATTTTAAATTGGACCGTCCGATCACAGATCAACGGTCCACGTTTATTTCACCAAAAATTAAAAAAAAAAAAAAAAAAAAAAGGCCCAACGGTCAGAAATTTGACCGTTGGCCACGTGGCGTAATGAGTGCTGTTGGATTTGATTATTTTTCAAATCCAACGGTCCCGATTAATTACAACATTAAAATTTATTAAAAATTAATTAAAAAATGTCAAAATTTTTTTAAAAACAGAAAAATTTTAAAAAATTAATTTTTTTTTCTATAAATACCTAACCCTCATCTTCCACCTTACACCACATTTCAATATTTTCTATCTACACTTTCTACACTTTCTACATTGAATATTTTGTACACTTTGAGAGAAAAAAATGACTTCGTGGAAGCTCAGTGAAGATGTTACGTTGTGTGAATGTTGGGTTCGCACTACTCATGACCCGATTACGGGTAATGAGATGGATAAGCGAGAAATGTGGAGTAAAATTACGAAATCGTTCAACGATGTACATGGAAAAGATGTACATGGAAAAGATGCCAGATCTAGTTAAGGTCTTCAAGGTCGTTGGAAAAAGACCTAGCACAAGATATGCAAGCATTCGCAAGGCAGCCGTAATTTTTTGCTCAGGAAGAAGACCTAGCACATGAAAAGCATCCTCTTTTTGCACAAAATATGGATCATGGTTGCAAACATCACTCATGATTTTAGCGAACAAACTTCGTTGCATTCTAAAACGACGTCTAAAAACATGATCAGGGTAAACGCTGTTGGGAATAAAATAATCTTCCAAGAGATCTTTACCTCGTCTTTCCCTTCTTCTATCGATGTTTGTCGCATGTCCGGGTTTGGCTATCTGACCCATAGCTTGCATGATACGGCGGGAATGTGAGGCCCTCCGCCTTCTATGGTGATCATCCTCATCCTCCTCCATTGTGAAGACCTCATCTCCACCTCCATCTTGGTCAAGATTGACCAATTCTTCCTGTTGTGCCAACAACCTTTTCTGCTGCTCTTGCAACTGTTTATACGCTTTCCTTGAAGAAGACATTGTAAGAACTCAAGATTTGAAAACGATAAAGAAGAATTCTGAGCTAAAAAAAATGATTGAGTTTAGTGTGAGGATGGATGTAGGGATGTAGGGTTTATATGGACAAAAAAAAAGAAGATGAGGTTCTGGACAATGCCACGTGGCACTACGTGATTGGTTGAAAATCTTAGCGGAAATCTATTCAAAAAATAGTACGTTCAGATAATGACACGTGGCGTGACGAGATTGGTTAAAAATCTTATCGAAATCTTGCCTAAATTATTGTAAACAGGAAGTGACACGTGGGTTGTCGGGATTGGTTGAAAATCTTAGCGGAAATCTATTCAAAAAATAGTACGTTCGGATAATGACACGTGGCGTGACGAGATTGGTTAAAAATCCTATCCGAAATTAAAACTATTTTTTTTTATTATTTTATAAAAAAATTATTTAATATTTTAAATGGACTGGGTGCCAGCGCATTTTGTAGGGGTGGAGATCGTTTGTGCCAGCGCATTTTTAGACTAGGTGCCAGCACATTTTTTTTGGGGTGGAGATGCTTTGGCCTATTACTGTTCATTGAGTCTGTTATTGTTCAATTAAGTGGATAAATGGGCTGGGTGCTGGCGCAAAGTGGATAGGGGTGCAGTTGCTCTTATTGATACCTGATGTGGCATTTCGAAGCATGCTGTCAAATTTCATTATATTTTAACCGGTATGTTGGTGAGACCCACTTTAAAATAAAATAAACGGTAAAACTATTTTTAAAAACTTATATTCTAGTAGATGATGAGACCTACCAATTAATAATCAAATAAAATGAAATTTCAGGCAGCATCAAAATTTACGCTAGAAGCATTGCTATCAATCCAGGTCACCTAAAAGATTGTTTGGTTGGAGAAATATAATTTTTCAAAAATGATTAGTTCGCATTCCACTTAAAATTTGGTATCTTCTTTAAAGATGTTCCAAGACGAACTGTAATAACATTTCATAGTCAACAAGAATTTTAAGTTTGAATTCTAACATTAAAGTCAAGATCACACAATGAGTTGAAAACTGTGAGGTATTTACGAAGTTCAAATTTAATTCTTAGTTAAATGACAGGAAGTTAGTAAACTGCTTAGACCATCTCCTCAAATTTTGAACACAAAATTTAAATTTTGATAGCTTATGTGACACTTATTTTTTAAAGTTTTGTTCTCCAACCAATATGTCAAATTAAATTATTATTTTATTATTTTATAAAATAAATTATTAAACTAATTAAAATTTAATAAAGAACATTTAAAGTTTAATTAGTAATCTGTTCACATTCCTTGATTGAAAAATAGAAAAAAGTATGATAATTGCATCAGTCAACTCAACATTAATTATAATAAATGATTAAACTAAATAAAAATTAATAAAATACATTTAATAATTAATAAAAAAACATTTGAAGCTGCTAAATTTGACATCAACCTCTTTTGCTATCAATCCATGTCATCGCCACATAGGATTTGAAACTTCGGTTGGAGAATATTAGTGTTGTTTTTTTTTACTGTTATAGCTTATGTGTACATTTTGGCATCTCCTTTGAAGATGCTCTTACCAGTTACAACATAAATATCATTGTGACGGTGTTTCAAGCCAATTATACACTACTTTATGTTTAACTTCTCCATATAATTAGTGTATAATTAACTTGAAATATCACCATCGTGAATTCCAATGTGCAAGTGAGCCCTATATATATATATACACACACGTCATGCAAATATCAGAACCGTGGTAATTAACAGAATAAAGATCTAACGTACAAATTGAGATATGCATATGATACCTTGTAGGCAATTTGCCCGGTCCATACTTAGAAAGCAAGTAAATGTCCCCATGAAGATTCTACCAAAATCGAGCTGTAAAGATCCTCTTATTTAACCCAAAAGTAGCACACCGATGAACATGGCTTTTTCAACGTTGTTCAACATTTGGTCATACAGATATGCATACTGTCCGCAGGTTGTTTGCAGAGAATCTATACGTTTATCTAGGAAGAATATCACAGCTGCAATCTTGTATATCCAATATTTTAACAGAATAAGATTGGAAGGAAGATGTGCTTTCGGTTACTATAATTATGGATTACCGATTTGGTTAACTTTGTTTTTTCACGAAAAATTGACTAAAATGATTAGATGAATCAAATATTAACGATATAACGATTAGATTGGAATTTTTTTGAACTGATTAGACCAATCAAATATTAAAAAACTGACTATATAGGATTAAATTTTTTTGATCATTTTGACCCATAAAGTAGGATTGAATTTTTTATTTTTTTTGTGTGTGGTTATTTTGGCCCAATCAAATATTGACGACATAAAGTAGAAGTAGCAGTAATTGAATATAAGATAAGAGAAAATTGGTTAAGATGGTTTAGACACGTGAACAAAAGACCTATAGATGCTTCAAAAAAAAGGTGCGACTATGAGACGGAGGCTCAGGACAAAAGAATAGAAAAAGACTTTGAAAGAGACTTTAAGAAAAGATAGAGAGTACTTGGAGTTAACGGACGACTTGATGCAAAACCGAGCGCGGTGACGTTCTATAATTCATACAACCGACCACACTTAGTGAAATAAGAATTGATTGTTGTTGTTGTTTATTTTAACCCATTCACCAAACTCCAATACTTAACATGGTCAAAAGACTGAAAACTTTTACATTCATGTCTAAATGTTGTCTGCCAATAAGGTGCATCTTATACAGCAAGGAAACCCCACTTGTAGGGTTATTGTGCAACAGCGTAGGAACAATCTTAGTACTAAACATGGGAGGCAAAACCCTATTCGCATGTACATTAGGACTAAATTAATAAACAAATCTCCTTATACGATTTCGAAATTGCATTGACCAAACATACCAAACACATTACCGTCCACCAGGAGTTAATCCACTTAGTTAATATATATATATATATATATATGCATGCAATTTCATACAAAAAGAATCAAGCATAAGCATGCAGCATTAGTTGGCCAGATTTAGTTTGGCAGACAGACAGCAATGCTGTTTTGGCGCAGCAATGCTCATAAAAAACATTGGCTCTCTCTCTCTCTCTCTCTATATATATATATATATATATTACTCTATATATTTAACCAGTAAGTTCTTTTTATACATAAATTAAGAGGAAATTACTAGTTGGGTTATGATATTTTTGGTCTAAATTCTAAAGCTGCAATCTGGTAGCCAATCATCAATTCGAGTCATTGACAATATGTTTTGCATTTTTATAAGGTGGTAAGTGGTAACTTCTAGATATCTTTCCTTAAAATAATTAGACATGCATTAGCTAGGGCTTAGGGGTGGCAGACTGTATATTTGACGTCACATGCATGCAGACGCGGTACCTGGAATCAGAGATGAACCAAAAAGTCTGTCTTCCTAAGATCATCTCCAACTAAAAGAAGATTAAAGGGCTACGTTTAGCCCTATAATTCTGCAAGAAATTATTTTTTAATGAACAGTGTCATGCAATATTTTATATCATCTTCAATCGACGGGGTTATAGTCCAAAACATAGCCCTTTCACAAAGAACCCATCTCCAACTGAAGGGAATATTTTTTTAGCCCCCTCAATAATTTATTACTTTAATTGAATTAAACTACCATATTAAAATAAAATTTTCAGACATATTTTGAATGCCACTTGTGAAAAGGATGTGAAAAATTGGTGAAGAATTGAAATAAAATGAGGTAAGATAGTATGGAATGGTAAAATGATGTGAGAAATGGGGTAGAATTGGCTTAGGTATTTATAGGAAAAAAAGTTAGAATTTTTTTTAAAAATTTCGTCTAAAAAAAATAGAAAAAAAAAGTGGCACTCAAAATTGAACTACTTGACGTCAGGTAGCATGTGTTTGGGCTGGGTGGTCTTGGCCAACCCTTTAGCCGGTTCTCCAATTTTTGGTTGGGTGGAGCCCACGAGCTCCTTGGCCTGGTCTTTGATTGGAGACGATTTTCGTGTCAAAACTGGCTATTTTTTTGTTTATGGCCCTTTGGCCGGATCGGTTGAAGATGGCCTAAGAAAGCTTGCTTTGAATAAAGGCCTACAGACGTACTCAACAAATCCTTTTTTTTTTTTTAATTTTAAATTGCCCTTGTATTTACTTGTTTTTCATTCTTTCTGGTTATGTGCGATCAATCACATAAAGATTCATCGATAAGTATAGGTGAAACCAATCCTCGTCAACCAGAAGAGGAAATCGATTTCAAGTATTCTTTGGAGTGTCATACTGTGAAAATTTCAGTGAAATTAATGTTCACCAACAAATTAAACTTCGATTGGTCAAGGTTTATGTGGCGCGCACCATATATGGATCCCCTAAATTGCACACATGACATGTGACTCATGTAAACTTAATGAGTTATTAAGAGTTTTTTCCAAAAAAAAAAAAAAAAAAGAGTTATCAAGAATTACACGTGTCCGCATCTGAAACATCCGTCATCAAACAAATCACATAAAGTAGAAAACTGGACAAATTAACCCTAGTTTGATCAAATTATATCATTTAGGATTTATTTTTTAAATTGAAGATTTTTCTTTAATAAAATTTAAATTAACTAATTAGCTCAAATTAAATGAAATCAGAAAATTAACCCCACAAATCACGGGATTCAGAATGAGCCTATAAATAATACGCTTATTCTAACAAAGAGGATTTTGGAGAGAAACGAAGAAAGCTCAAGCCTTAGTAGAAATTAGAAAGCTCTCAGGCCAAAGCAAACACCAAATACATGAACACTCTTGTGTTATTCATCAAACCTGTGCCGATTTATCCACAGCCAAAGCCGAAAGTCACCCACCACACTTCAAACTCTTTGTGGTCCCATTTCATTCCATAACAAACTTCAACATCCCTTGAAGAATCACAAGCAATAGATTCAAGTTCAAGATCAAGTGGCCACCACTCTTGGATCGAATTCTACTTTGGAGATCGAATAAGAAAGGTAGTCTTGTAAAAGAATAGCTACACAAAGATCGTAACCCTAAGTTTATTATTTTTTTTTGTCAAACCCTAAGTTTATTAATTCAAAGTATTATTTTTGTACACATGTTTTTATTTCATTTGTTACAGAAAATTTCTTGTTTACAATATATATATATATATATATATATATTTTTTTTTTCCTTTTTCAGTAGCTTTTTTTTCTTTCAATTATATACATATGAGGGAAGTTTCTTTAATACTACAACATTTAAAGGTACAGGAAAACATATTTTCACTAGTTTTTTTTTTTTTTTTGAAAAAACGATATTATCTACGCTAATGGGGAGGAGGTGAGCTTAGCCTCACAATGGGCTAGCAATAATGTGGTTGAAATTCGCCTTTGACGAGAATCGAACCTAAGACCTCTCACTTACACATGAAGAGGAAGACCACTAGACTGTAGTACTAAGTGGCTTCACTAGCTTAATTATATGAGGCAAAGGTGAAGTTGTAAGTGAAATTTCTTTAGTACTACAGTCTGATAGTACTCCTCTTTACTTGTAAGTGAAAGGTCTTAGGTCGATTATAGTCAAAGGAGAAGTTGAACTACATTATTATGTCAAACCCATTATAAGGTTTAGTCCACTCTCCCACCTTCTTAATGTAAATACGGTCAGTTTGTTCTAAAAAAAAATTATGAGGCATCACAAATAACATGACCATTATAGTGAACTATTAAAACTCAAATAAATTCTAGCAAAACTGTCTTCATAAAATAAAATTAAAAATAAAACTCTCAAATAAATAAAAGCACACTAAAACAAAGCTAATTAATTTGGAGTTAAACCCAAATGAATGAAATTAATAAAACTCAATTAATTTCAAAAATGAAGGCCACCTAGGTCCACATTCTGGTGTGAAAAATTAACATTTGGAACGGCTAAGATTTTCTTATCAAATTGATTATGACATTATATATCGACCTCTCATATGCCATATGGGCGCTCCATCATGTCGTCAACTAGCTTAATTGTTCCTACGTACACAATATTCCCCAAATCCCTCCATATGATGTCCAAAAGCTAAAGTTTGAAAGAAATATGAAAAAGCATACAGGAATCATAATTTTTTATCGAGAGAGACGGAACATTTTAACCACTGTGAAAAAAAATACAGTTTTGCTCACCAATTTATTTATTAAATGTTTAAATTTTAAGATTAGTGTCTATTCACTATACATATTTCAAAATTTAAATTAATCAACGGTGATAAATAGGTGGGAGCAATTATATTCCTACAGTAAAAACGAATCTTTGCGGCAAAGAGACACCTTCACTCTCTATATAAACTCACTCTTATTTCACTTCTCCCACCACCACAATCCCTCTCAGCTTTTAATTTCCCACTTGGTTTCTTGTTTCCGAAGCTTTGGCTTTTCATTGTCTCGCTCATTTTCTGAGTAACCAAACAGACACCGAGAAAAAAAAGGCCAAGAGTCAAGAAAATGTCCATGGAATCCAACCCTCTTTTCATTCCACCAACTGGGTTTTCATCAGTTTTGAGCTTGGAGTTGTTCATCTGTCTCTTCCTCTTCATCTTTGTTTTTGGCTTTTGGCTCTCACCCGGTGGCCTTGCTTGGGCTTTGTCCAAATTTAAAGCTCAAATCCCTTCGAAAACCGCCATTCCAGGTCCTTCCGGCTTTCCTATTCTTGGTTTGGTCTTGTCCTTCACTGGTTCTCTCACTCACAGAGTTCTAGCCAAGCTTGCTGAGACCTCAAAGGCCAAACCTCTAATGGCGTTCTCAGTAGGGTTTACTCGTTTTGTCATCTCCAGCCACCCCAATACTGCAAAAGAGCTCTTGAACAGCTCGGCCTTTGCTGACCGACCCATCAAAGAATCGGCTTACGAGCTTTTGTTCCACAAAGCAATGGGGTTTGCCCCTTTTGGTGAGTATTGGAGGAACTTGAGGAGAATATCCTCCACCCATTTGTTCAACCCGAAGCGTATTGCTAGTTTCGGGTTGTTCCGAGACAGTATCGGGTGCAAAATGGTGGAGGAGATGAAGGGTTTGATGGAGAGGAGTGGTGAGGTGGAGGTTAGGAAAGTGTTGCATTTTGGGTCTTTGAACAATGTGATGATGAGTGTGTTTGGGAGGAGCTATGAGTTTGGTGGAGAATTAGGGTGTGGAAATGGTGAGGGTTTTGAGCTTGAGGGGTTGGTGAGTGAAGGGTATGAGTTGCTTGGGACTTTCAATTGGAGTGATCACTTTCCTCTATTGGGGTTTTTGGACTTGCAAGGTGTGAGGAGGAGGTGTAAGAAATTGGTGGCAAAGGTGAATGCTTTTGTTGGGAAAATCATAGAGGAGCATAGAGTGAAAAGGAATGAAAATAATGGAGTTTTGGGTACTGATCATGAAAGTGGTGATTTTGTTGATGTGCTTCTTGATTTGGAGGAGAACAAACTCAGTGACTCTGATATGATTGCAGTTCTGTGGGTAAGTTAATTTGATTTTTGAAAAGAAAAAACCTATTAGGTTGTTTAGTTATTTGTAACGTTTGCACATTAGGTTTTCCAGTTTCAATGATCACTAGGAATATTATAGGAATATTTTTATGGAATTATTTCTATAAGGTTTTATGTTGTTGTTACTCTAAAATTATTATTCTGCACTTTTTCTTTACAAATTTTCTGTGTTTTTATTAGTTTGGAGTGCAAAATTACTCTTTTAGAAATACCAATAACAACAACATTTTTTTAAGAGAATTTTATTCATTTCTTGTTTGCTAAATTCCTTAGTTGAGCTTTTATTCTTCACCCTTTAATTTATTTTTTTTCATTTTCCTTCTTGTCCAAGCTTGAAAATTTTTAATTTTCTCCTTTGTGAACCAAATTATAGAACTCTCATGTTTCAAAATTTCTATTTTCCAATCCATTTAAAACAACATAATTAACGTGATTAATTATACAATAAACGTTTTTCTTCATGATTCCAGGAAATGATCTTCAGAGGGACTGATACAGTGGCAATACTCCTAGAGTGGATTTTAGCCAGAATGATTCTCCACCCAGATATCCAAGCCAAGGCGCAATCGGAGATCGACGCCGTTGTAGGCACTCCGACACGATCCGTATCCGATTCCGACCTCCCTAAGCTTCCTTACCTCCGTGCCATAGTCAAGGAAACCCTAAGAATGCATCCACCAGGACCCCTCTTGTCCTGGGCCAGGCTTGCCATCCATGACACTCACATCGACCACCACTTCATCCCCGCCGGCACCACCGCTATGGTCAACATGTTTGCAATCACACACGATGAGAAAATCTGGTCAAACCCTAATGAGTTCAAACCAGAAAGATTTATTAATGAAGATGTTCCAATCATGGGGTCTGATTTAAGGTTGGCTCCCTTTGGTTCTGGAAGAAGAGTTTGTCCTGGTAAAGCCATGGGATTGGCAACTGTTGAGCTTTGGCTTGGTCAGTTGCTCCAAAGCTTCAAGTGGGTCCCTTGTGATGGTCAGTCAGGTGTGGATTTGTCTGAGACCTTGAAGCTTTCTCTGGAAATGAAGACCTCTCTTGTCTGCAAGGCTGTTCCTAGGGTTGTGATTTGATGAACAATTTCTATTTACTTTTGATAATTAAATATGTTGGTTAAATTAGGGTTGCTTTGTGGTGGAGCTCAAGACATTTGGGTTTGGTTCTAATCCTATCTTATATCTAGGGCATGTGTATCACTGTCCATGTGAGCAGTTTTTGTCTATACATCAATATGCAATGCTAGCTTTTTATCTTAATTTCATTGTTTAATTTCTCTGCTTAAAGTCATTATTAATTTTAATTTGAGAGTAGAGAAACGTATCGCTGCACCCGAGTGAATTGATGCTGGGCAAAGAAATGATAATGGAACGTTCATTATTTAATGCAGAGGACCTAATCATATTAGCATATTTTGGAGTGCTGGCTGCGTTTCCTTGATGTTTCTCGTGATTGGCACACTCACATATTCACCAATAAGTTCATCTTGTTATATGCTTTTGAGTCTTTCTCGTTTGACAACCCCTTATATTCATCCAACATGATAGCTGTGAAGTTTATACGTTCTATTAACGTTATAACAATACAGTTGTTGTTTAAAAAAAAAAAAAAGAAGAAAAAAAAAGGAAGAGATTTTAGATGCAATCAATTGATCCCCCAATTAGGGGTGGATGTACATCGGGACCAAGGTAGTCCCAAGATCACCCATAGTCTGAGAAATATACATGTGAAAGTCTTTTGAGGACCCTCCGGATGTTTGGTACATGTCCCTTTTGTGTCTACCAAGGATTGGATATAATGCCTACTAGGCATACATGTTGCATCAACAACACTCGACAAATTCTCTCGATATCACTCATCAGATTGCTTTGGTAATAATGAATATTTGTTGACATATGCACAACATAGTTTGGCTGAAGACAATAAAACCACCAAGTGTTTGATGAAATGTCTTAGTTGAATAAACAATTTTTTTTGAGTGTGTGTTTCACGCTTTATTTGTATCTAAAAAACTTGTAATTTGACATTGAGACCCAAAAGTTCAAATCTTGAATCCGTCACCGAGGTGACTTTTGTTAAGAATCGAATGACATCAGGTTAAATTTAATTATCTTTTTATTTCAGGAAAATAAAATATTTGAAACACATCTACAATCTTATTCTTTGGTTTCTCACTTCAACTGTCATTGTGTATATGTAACTTTGGCCTTCCCTTTCCTCTTTATTCTTTGCATGCTTTCTATTAGCATTTCTTTATGATCGATATCGATATCGGATATAGCCTTTTGAATGCGAAAATTGAATATAAAAAATAATCAAGGGTTACGATTCCTTAATTAAGATTATATACAATAAAATTAAAGAATATTTTCCTAGATTTTTTTATTAATTTGATCATTTGTAATGCGTTAGTTTTAAATGATTGAGGAATAAGAACCTACACCAAACAATGATACGGCTCAACTCTCACCCTCTTTTATGATATCCAATTCCTTCCTCAAGAATATATTTTGGTGAAAGATATGCCTGTGATCAAAAGCTTTGCTCCTTTTTTCCAGCTATAAAGAAAAGATGGAAACAGATTTGAATATCCAATCAAACTAACATTATATATATTTTTTCCTTATAAATCCACATCAGTGCATGCAAGTAGATGCTTTTTCGGCCTTCAACCGATTCTCTATCACTCGACTCACACCCCCATATCCCTACCTATATATTCCTTTCCTCCTAGTCCTCTTACTCTCAAGTCTCACGATCAATAGTAGAAAGATAAACTCAAAATATAATGACAAGGTTAGTTAAGTCGGCTCCCCCTCCTTGTAGTTTGAGTTAATTAAGTCTCACTATCGTTTTCTGTATTTATATGTATATGTGTGTCTATATATACATATTATATGCAAAATGCTGATTTTATGGATAGATAATTCTAGGGAGACTATCTATTTAAATTATATATATTTCGTAAACCATATGACGTGGTTGTGAATGATTGAATTATTACTTAGTATTGATTAACGTGTTTATTTTTTATTAGTAAAACATCACATGATTTATAAATTTGGTCTAAGAAAATTGATCAACCTAGCATAGTGAACACTCTGAGCAAATGGCATATATCCGTACAAAGGGTGTGAACACATAATCCACATAATGCACATACTAATGACATGAGAAAATTAAAGAAAAAGAATCTAGGATGATGAAAATATACGATCTGTTGCACATATTTGGTTCTCATAGTGCAGAAAATTATATCTTTACCTCTAGATAGCCACATGTTTTTATTTTTTGATGTCAAAAAAATTATAGAGAGGAACCACTTGGGGTTCCAAAGTTCTTATTAATTATCATACAACACACGTAAATCAATTGAAGCATGTACATTATAAAATCAAATACAAAGACTAGACTTTAGTGTGTTCGAACTTCTAAATTAGCTAAGCATCAGCAGATGTATTAATTAGCTCAGAAAACATGTCGAATTTGTTGCAGTTGGAAGTGTTGTAACAACTTCATGATATCCAAATACAAAGTGAGCTTCTATTTTTTTGTTCTTCCTTCTTCCTTGCTTCTTCCCGATTAGGCGGAGCAAAAATTTCTACAAACTAGAATCATACGGATCTTCTCCATCCCAAACGAAATAGGCTATGGGTTTCATTGTTTCATCTCATTTGAGATTCATCTTGCCCTAAAAAAAGGCTTTTTCTTTTCAGGGTATGGATACAGAAATCATTGATGGATGGGAAGGTATATAAAAGAGAGGAAAGGTAAAAGTGCCCAAAAATCAAACTCTGTCTTGCGTAAAGTTGCTAGATTACGTTTAACATTTGAGGAGTTGGTGAAATGGGATATTTTTTTCTTTTGTAACAATCTAGCCACATGTATGGTTATGGTATCATGTGAATAAAATCACAAAACCTTTTATATATACCAGAAAATATTGGATGCCAAAAGTTTGATAAAGAATTATGAGTCACTAATTGGCATCTATAGCAAGCTACCTAGTATCCCAAAGCCTAAATTTGTGGGTTGCAAAGGGAATTTAGGTTATGTTGATGCAAAAAAGCTCATGTAAAAGGAATCTTTCTTTAATTTGACCACCAATATAAAACGTAAAAGGATTCTTCTTCTCTAAGCCTTCCATATTTCCGCATTTGAATATTACTAAGATTGAATTTTGCTGCTGCCTTTGCTTGCATAGCTCATAACCATTTTGATCTGTTTTTTTCCCCATGACCTCTATTTTTATATAAAGTTGTCTAACTGGCATGCTAGCTTGTTTTGTTTTGTTTTTTTTATTGAAACAACGATCCAGGGTAGTAAAGGATTAGTTGAACATAACTACACATCAGAGTTTGGTTGTCAGATAACTACAAAAGCCTATGCTCCGCTTGCAAAACGAGTAGAATGAACCTAGCCCCCAATTTTGTTCCTCAATTACCATGGAAACATCAAGATATAAAAGGGGCATATATTGAGGGAATATCCAACAGTACCGTTTTGTTTCCTTACCAATATGCATGGAAATTGAAATGAGATAGTCATATGTGCAGAGTCTAAACCAGAAAACAAACGGTAAATACGATTCTTTTTTTTTTAATGAACGACTTTAAAACATAAACTACTGGTAAGTTGAACAACAGAAGACAAATTTGTGCAAGTCATAAACATCAATGGCCCCTACAGAACCCATATATAACATAATTTAAAACTGATAATAATACCACATCATCAATTCACCATTACAACAAGCATGGCACAGATCAACCCCACGCTTATCTTCATTTCCACGAGGAGAAGATGTCATCATGATTTTGGCTAACCAAGTTGCCAATAAAAATGAATAAGTACAATTTTGGGCTGCCTACTCCATCGACTGGAAAACCCTAGCTAGGTCCGATCGAAAGCCCTAAAGAACAACATCTGAGCGAATCATCGTCCACCACCCTAGTCACAAACCCTACTAAACTAAACTGTTTTTCATCATTATAGCGTACCATGCATTGTATCAAGATATTCTATAAAACCATTGTTGCTTTACATAATTTCATGCGTATTCAAGTAGCTGGTCCTGATCAAGGATCAACTAATTCATAAGCTTTATAAACTGATGCAGGACCACCACCAATATTGTCGATATTATTCTAATTTAACCACATACCTATTTCTAGGTGTTGGATTGTATCACAAAAGGCCTCGGTGATATTAAGAGTGGAAACTCCTATATTTACTGGTACATTATTTTGTCATATGACCCTTGTGGGATCCTACTCTTCAACACTAATTATTGTTTGCTTATAAACATTATGCGGGTACAGGGTTCATTATTTGCTCTTGTAGGATGCTTCTCCAACATATATTTTAACCACTAACATGTTAATTAAATAAAACGCAAACTTGAGAAAAAGCAAATTGTGGTAGCTCCTCATCCCATTTGCATGGACCACTTTGCTTAATTATACATATACATATGCACATATAATTAGTGATGTGAATCAACCGGACAATTGGTGTATCAATATATAGAGAGACTCTGTCCTTGTGATCCCAGATAGGAAGAAGAACTAGACCCTGCTGTAGGGTACATAGTTTTTTTAAATCCAAAGTTGTATTGCTGCGTCAATGGTTTCACACAATTATGTACAACAAAGATATTTAGTTTTAGCTTATCTTAATAATTATATGTAGGTCCTAATAAGTTTAGGTGTTTTGTTTATGCTTTCTCAGTGTTAACTGGGATCCACATAGACATGTCCTTCTACATGCTTCTATAATTATATATACATTCCCTGCTTCATCATCTCTATCATTATGTGATTTACAATGATGACAATCGCAATAGTTAATCATGATTACGCGGAGAGAGAAAGAGATCATCTCATCTCAATATTATAAAGGAAAACTTTTGCTCACTACCGTCAAGTGAGAGAAGTTTTTAATTGTGACAGGAACACAAGTGATACATCACGTGTTTTAATAAAAGTGGTGAGAAATTTTATTTTTTAAGTTATTAACTTTTTAGCACACATATCTGACCATTTGTATAGTGACAAAGTGATGTACCACCCCGTGTATCTGATCACACTGAAAAATCTCTCGTTAAGTGGGGGTGATGCTCATGACTCTATTATTATAGCTGGATGAGTTTAAATTTTGAAATCTATGTAGGTGATAGACACAAGTAATAAGTAAGATGATGAACTTTATCGCAATTTTAGAATGATGAAAAAAAATATACCCGTATTATATGAACATATATATGCAATTTCTGACTTTTCTGACTCAAGAAAAAATGTTGAGTGTCAATATGATTAGTACTAATAGACTTATAGCCCTAGAGGCATAACTTTTGACAAACATATAATGGTGACAAGTTCAACATGCGCCCACAACAAGGCAATACGTAATTGAAACATAAATTTAGAAAGTGAGAGAAGTTAGCTAGGGGTTATTAGATTATAAACCTCCTCAAAGATACATTAACATAGTTTGTGGGAGACAGTTTGATTGCTTATATACTAGTATTAACTGCCAAAAGATATTAGGTCTCTCCAAGGTTAGGTACTTTAAACTAAAAGGTCATGCTTGATCATTTAATTTAGTAACACTCAATTTCATCTTGTTGATTGGAATCCTGAGTTCAAATTTTATAATAACAATCACGTCGATGCTTGTTATAATTTGCCTCAGCTCCAATGCCCAGTTTTAATCACATCCATATCACTTCATTCTCTTTTTACCAACACATAAAAATTAAAGAACCGTTTGATAACCATTTTGTTTTTTGTTTTTTTTAAACTAAAAACTCATTTGATAACTACTTTCACTTTCCAAAGAATTAAAAATTAAAAACTAAATGTAATTACCAAATAAGTTTTAATTTTCGTTAAAATAAAATAAACAAAAATTAAAAACGAAATAATTATCAACGCCCACTCACACTTTTCAGTCGAATGTACAATGATTTGATTGAATCTCATACAAAATAGGCATGCACAAGAACTATTTGTCTTCGATCCAGAAAGAGTAACATGTGTTTTGGGCTTGAGGCCCAACAAATTACATCGAAAGGCCAATTCATCGTCAGCCCACATTGGACTAGCCTTGATGCCTAGGTCATAGGCGCAGGCGCAGCCCCATTTCATAGAAAACTCACCCAAAACGCAGCGTTTTGTTAGCTAAGGAACGTTTAGGTTTTCATTCCTCCCAGCAATCATAAACCCTCCTCTCACGGTGAGCTCTCTCTCTCTAAAAATGCGGTCTTTACAGCCTCTGCAACTCCGGCGGCTCCTGCTCCGCTACCTCTCCACCTCCTCTTCATCGCCGTCGTCTTCCCAAACACTCCAAACCCACATTCCATTCCTCCCCCAAACCCCCACCCATTTCCGCCATTCCCGACCCGCCATAGTCACCGGAACAAGCTCCCACTTTCTATCTCTACCCCATTTCTTTCTCTCTAAACCCTTCTCTTCCTCCGCCCCACCGACCCAAGATCCAGATCAGTCCGAATTAGCTCAGTCTCTCTCCTCCGAGCTCCTACAGGATTCTAGCTCCGACCCCCTCTCCGTAACCCAACGCCTCCAATTGAGCTTCTCCCACATCACCCCGACAGCTCCTCTGGTCCTTAACGTACTCAATCAGTCCCCCGAGGCCGGCCGTACGGTTTTAGGGTTTAACCAGTGGCTGATCTCGAACCCTAATTTTGAGCACACGGACGAGACCCTCTCGTATTTTGTGGATTACTTTGGGAGGAGGAAGGATTTCAAGGCGACCCACGATGTGATTGTGAGTGCAGGTGGAGTTGCTGGGTCGAAAACCTTTGCTTCCGCCATTGATAGGCTGGTGAGAGCTGGGAGGCCTGCTCAGGCTGTTTCTTTCTTTGAGAAGATGGAGAAGGATTACGGGTTGAAGCGCGACAAAGATTCGCTGAAATTGGTTATCGAAAAGCTTTGTGAAAACGGTTTTGCGAGCAATGCTGAGAAAATGGTTAAGGGTTTGGCCAATGAGTTTTTCCCTGATGAATATATGTGTGATCTGCTGATCAAGGGTTGGTGTGTTGATGGGAAGCTCGAGGAGGCGAGGAGATTGGCTGGAGAGATGTATAGAGGAGGGTTTGAGATTGGTACTACTGCTTACAATGCGATTCTTGATTGCGTTTCCAAGCTTTGTAGGAAGAAGGATCCCTTTCGCCTTCATTCGGAGGTGGAGGAAATCTTGGTGGATATGGACACTCATGGGGTTCCGAGAAATGTGGAGACATTCAATGTGTTGATTAGTAATTTGTGTACGATTAGGAAGACAGAGGATGCTCTGAACCTGTTTGAGAGAATGGGTGAGTGGGGGTGTTACCCGAATGAAACTACATTTCTTGTGTTGATCAGGAGCTTGTATCAGGCGGCGAGGATTGGGGAAGGGGATGAAATGATCGATAGGATGAAGTCTGCCGGGTTTGGCGAGGCTCTTAATAAGAAGGAATATTATGGATTCTTAAAGATTTTGTGTGGCATTGAGAGAATCGATCACGCATTACGTGTTTTCAAGAAGATGAAGGAGGATAAATGTGAGCCGGAATCAAGACTTACGAGCTGTTGATGGGAAAACTGTATGCTCACAACCGCGTCGATAGAGCCACCGCCCTGTTCAATGAGACTCAAAAGAGAGGGGTGCACTTTGACACAGAAGGCGTATCCGGTGGACCCGTATTTCTTGAAGAAGAAGAAGGAGCTAAAGGCTTTGAAGAAGGGTGTGAAGAAGGAGAAGAAGCGGGAAACTTTCCCTGAGAAGATGGCAAGGAAGAAGAGACGGTTGAAGCAAATTCGATTGAGTTTCGTAAAGAAGCCGAAGAAAATGCAGCGTCGAGCCTACTGATGAGATGCCATTAGAAGTCGGACTTGTCAAATTATCAAAGGGGAATGACAATTTTGATCAAAGTTTCTGTTTTTGGAAGTTTGATCGTTTGTTTTCGTTGATGTCGAATGTAGTTGCCTTACTTTTGAATTGTTGTTTTGATCTTATAGTTGGTTAAATTAGAAATAAACCGGACTTTGATTCATTTAATTCTTCAGTCTATGCGACATTTATCTTTCTATTGTGTGCTATAAAATAACCTCGCTGTTCTACTTAATTTACATCTTAATTTACATTGTCATTTGCATGCGTGATGTTCTGGTTTATACGAAATGTTTGGGTCTGACAGGTGGACCATGTTACCTGACCGACCATACAGATCGGATTCCCCTATGTCCGTCCTATCTCTATCTAATACAGGATTCTCTGATTATGTGGCGTCCCATCTCTATCTAATACAGGATTCTCTGTTTATGTGGCTGGGCAGATAACATGGTTCACCCGCAGACGAACCAAAGAATTTCAACCGGTTTAGCCATTTTCTCCGGCATAGGAAATTGCAAGGTGTCGCATTCCAACAGGGTTGCTGAAGCTGCTCAAAATGTCCATTTGTTTACTTGTTGACCTCTTGTTTCACAACCGATGTCGGATCTGAAACTAGCTTGTAATCAACTAATCAACTTCCGAATATATACATCGTATCCGACTTAAATACGAAAATCATACTTATTCAAAGAGTTTGCGAATTAGAAAAGACAGAATAAAAAAAGTAAAACGAAAATATTTTACTGACCAAACTGAACCAGTAAAGTTGGGGGTCCTCTGTTGTAGGTTACATTCGATTAACTCATCTAGTTTTAAGGGAGAGGAGTAAAATCCTAACTCAGATCATCAATCTACACTCTTCACATCAAGAAAGTCGCCAGCCGGATTTCTACAGGCTTGACAGACTTTCCTTCCAGAACCGGATTGATCTGTCAGTCCCACAGGTAACGAATGCAGCCTCCGTTGGCGAGTGTGCAAGCCAACGGAAAGCACCAATATGATTGGAAGGCCACTTTGCTACTTTGTCTGCTGTCACAGCATCCCAGATAACAATCTGCAACCATCCCATATTTATCAATTGAAACATTTCTTTTTCGGTCTCCTATCAATTGAAACTAACCAGCACATTTATCTAAATACAGTAAGAGCAAACAAACCTCATTGGTTGGTTCGTCGATGGACAGTACAAATTCTTCAGTATCATTAAAAACAGCCTGCAGATAAGTTTATAAAAGCACCTATGATATTGATACATGAGTAGTTTATCACCAACTTTAATATTTCCTGATTTGGGTTCCTCGGACTGGGCAGCGGAGTGGAGAAAAATTCTGGTCTAGAATTTTACGTAGTTGACAAGAGGACTTATGTAGCCGTTTTCTTTGGCATAAGAAATTGCATTCTCAAATCCTTTTTAGAATTCTTAAAAGAAAAAACCACCAAAAGAAAGCCATTCCGGAATACCTGACACCACAGTTGAGTATGTGTAGCTCCGATATATTGATTAACCAGTTTCCCAGTGCCAACTTCCCAAAGATTCACGGTAGAATCCTTTCCAGAAGATAGAACGAACCTAGAAGACCAGCATTTGAGTCATATCCCAAAGAAAACAGGAAGGTTGTGAAGTCGAAGATTTAGAAAGAATTGAGGGGTGAATCAAAGTTACAGTGATGTTTTAACACATCTCAAGCCAGAGACTTGACAGGGATATAAGCAAAATATTCCTTAGCCATGTTATCCAACATTTGTGAAACAACTTAGATGCAGAAACATCATTTCACATAACAAAGTCAACCCTCCATACATGTACTTTCACAATTTTCCACACTTTCATACATATCATGTTTCAGGGCTTAGACCTATCCTATGAGCCATATTCCATACCTTTGATCCTTAGTGAAGCTTGCACTGGTTGCCTCTGCTGTGCCATGTGCGGGTATGGAGCATGCATACTTGGCAGTTACACCATCCCATAAACAAATAACATGTCTTTAGAAGCTGTAACATACTTGTCAACTGTAGCTGAATACCTGACCTGATGCACAAATATGTGGATTTGAATGCCCTCATCGAATTGTATTTATCTATGAACAATGTATAGCAGAGCTTGAAGCATGAATAAAGAGATGGAGTCAACCATATACCTGATTTATTGCTCTGTTAACATCGATTTCTGGGGCATTTGCAGATAGGTAACACTGTAAGGTATTGACATCATACAAGTGTGGAATTGTATGATCTGTCCCTGTGGTTTTATTGATAGATATAAACATCATTAGAAGCCAATTCACGGTATTGACATCTAAATGTAAACTAATACTTTCGGACATTACATAAGACTAAGATCATTATAAATTCTGTCATAACATTACAACATCTTGTATGAGAAAATGAAAAAGTATGATATATAACTAAAATATTTGATGAAGCTGGTATGGGTAAATTGTAGCAAGAGTAAATTTGAAGCTGGTATGGGTAAATTGTAGCAAGAGTAAATTTACAACAGAACTTCGACTACGAACCAAGACAAATGTACACATTCCGGGAAACACCAACTCATAGACTGCATAAAACATCAAATTGGCTAAAGCGACTTCACTCCACCAAGAAAATAGAAAATAACAGGAAAGAGCATAATATTACCAGCTAAAAGAAAATCTCCAGAAGGATGAAAACATACTGAACGCACCTTGTGTGTATCCTATGTCATTAAAAGGACAATTTATTAAAGGAGTGTCGTTGTATACTCTGCTTCAATCTAGATGAGATGACAAGCAAAACCTGGATACTCTGAATGCCCTCTTTGCGGTCATCTTGTAAAAATCAAAGAACCTGAAAGTAGTAACAAAATTGACATAAGGGTTCAAAGCGAACTCCTGTTTCGTTAATGGTCAAGGGCTTTGGAGAAGAGGAAACAGCAACATGACTAAAAAGGGAAGAAGAAGAGGGGGAAGAAGATATAAAGAACTTATCAATATATTATCTTGGAAAGTAAAGAATCCATACTTTATGGTCTGATCTTTTGACCCAGATATAACAACAGTGTTCTGAGGATGGAAATCCAAGTCATTAATAGGCTGCAATTAAATTGGAGTAACATTAGACATAAGGGAATATCCCGAAGACATTGCCTAATTGACTTTAAATGAAACATGAATAGAATCCAAGTAAATCCACACGTTATATGTAACTCTGATACTACAAAGTTTAAATTATCAGTTTACTTTAATCATTCTCTGTGTAATGTGCCTAGACAGGATGGTCTACATTGGATGATCACAGAAAATGGGTGCAACTAAACAATATTTGTGGTTGAAAGAATAGATTTTTCATAAGAAAAACAATATTTATTGATCAAAATTAGGAACAAAGGTTGACTTACTTGTAAGTGGTCATCGAATGTGCGTATGACAGGTCGCACAGGACCATCTCTAGCCTCGACAAGCATCATTTGCTTAATTTTTGAAACCTAAAACATTTTAACACTGCCTGAGAATCAGATTGGGGCCATGTTGAAGAAAGAACCAATTCTATGGCTTAGAAGAATGAGCACCTCTAAAAGCTTTATTGATGCGTCGGAACTTCCAGTAGCAACAAGCTTCCCGTCGGGACTAAAACCTTGCACATCTGGCAATATTCTAAGTTTATCCCATCAGAACAAGTCCCAGTGGAAAGTGAATTTATCATGCTAAATTAGTGAATCAATGAAAATAAGTACCCATGTTATGCAATTATTTTTTCCCTAGTTATGTATAACTTGTGCTCTGAAAGATGGCGTGTCTCATGCTTTGGAAAACTATTTGATGAGCCTTTTGTTTCCAGCACAGCACTGTTTGTGCAAAAGAAAATTCTGTAAATAATATTCCTAGGAGTTTTTCATGATCGGCTTGCTTTTTTCACTGAGCAACTAAATGATAAGTACCAGAGCCGAACGTTTGGAAGTTTGTTTGTAACCTGTTGCAAATCTAAAAGGCAACAAGCAGTAATCAAATGACCGAGAAACCTATTCAGAAAAACATAGTTACCCAAAATCAACAGCAGCAGTGCGAGTAGCTGGGATTGCACCATATCTAGAAGCTACTGATGTACCCTAATCATATGCAATTAACCCCTCTCAATATCTCATCTTTCTCCACTGTAATCACCTTAGAACCAAAACTTTCTTTACGAGTTTAAACAATGCAACATAACACTGAAAATAGAGGGAAAAAAAGCCTTGTAATACAAATACAAACCTTGGAAACCAGTTCAAGAAGCCTATTACGTGGGGCTTCGGCATTCAATGATGTCATTGTTGCCGAAGCAGCAGCACTTGCAGCCTGTGAATGAGAAAGATCACCAAAAATTCACAATCAACCTTAATATTTGAATTAAACTCTTCTCACCATGGATTGCAAAAAAGGATAGGTCACCGCAGTACATTGGTACAAGGCAGATTAAGCATCAAATGTAGTGATGTATTTGGTAACACAGAATCAAATCAATCTCCAATCAACGTATTCGAATTCCAAACTTAAAACCAGAACATCCAAAGTCTCATTACATCTTAATCCTCATCTACCATAACTACCATACCATTTTCTCCCCAAAACCCAAGAAAAACTGGAACTTCAGCAGAACCAAATGCTCATGAAGTTCCCAACTAAGTCAAGTTTACAAATTTGAAATTGAGAGTAGCAGATTTTCCTACATTTTCCCGGAAACCAATCAATCAGCGAGCCAAAAAAAACTTCACTTCCAGATTGAGATTGTAGCATGTTCTTCATACCCAACTGAGCTTAACTACTCGTTTCTTCCCAAAAACCAAAAAATATTGAATATTTACGTTGAAAATTCAATTTCTTTAGTTTTCCAACACTATGTCAGCAACCAAAAAACACACATGAACATCTATACATACATACATATATATATATATATCATATATGTAATGATGAAGAAGTAGAGGTAGTGTGCTTGCCTGATAGAGATTGCTGTCACGGAGATGAGCGACGATGAGGGAACAGAGCTGCCTGTGGAGCTTGGCGTCCTGCAGTGTTTCTTCCAAGCTGTTCTCCATTTTTCTCTCCCCTAAAACCGCTTCGTCCCCAAAGTTTCCGCCTTTACTTTCAATAAACGACATGTCGTACAACCCCTTGATATATATATATATATATAGATTTTTTTTT